TATAGCCACCCCCACGGCTGCACCAGCCACCTCTGTGTCCACTTTAACCATCCCAGCCTATCACTGCTTTACATCCACATTGGCTGAAATTTCACCTGTCACACCAAATAACGAACCCTCTGATGTTTCAAACGAAACTTCTCCACCTGCCCCCTAGAACGCTGAGGGATCATCTCAGAACGTCGAGGGATCTTCCCCTGTCCGAACTCGCGTTTCGAAGAAAAGCCTGGGCAAAAGACCACAGCCTGAAGGTGGCCATGATCAGAGTGCTCTTCCTCCAACCCAAAGGGCTCGGTCTTCTAGGGTCACCACAACTCTTCCTTCCCCCCAGGTTAAGATTTCAGAGGGTGAATTAACCAGAACCTCCATCTCTTCACCTACAGTGGTTCCGTGGCGTCCCTTGCTCTAACGAGAGGACGAGTTAGTTGTTGCCCCCACTGACTCTTTGTTCAAGGACCCAATCATTTCATTTGTTTTCTACAAGGGCCTTTGGACCCCCAAGGACATTGAGGTTTAGAACAAAATGACCTTTAATGAAATGTACACCAGTTTCCCTGTAGCTGCTATTGAGGTAGTTTTTCCTCTTTTTTATTATTTTTTTCTTGTTCTGACTATTTAACACTTGTACTAATTAGAACAATTGTGTATTTGTGCAGAATTTATTTGGAATGTTCAAGTTCTAGAAGAGTATCGAAACTGCGAATAAGAAGATCAAATCCCTCTCTCTTGGTTTGCCAAATCTGTTGTTTCAGAAAGAGCAACCGAAGCCAAGAACTTAGAGTTGCTGGCCAAGCTGAATGAATCAGAGAAGGAGACTGACGCTCTAAGGGCTGAAAGGGATGCTCTAAAGAATGAGTGAGATTCTCTCTATGACGAGCTTAATGTTCTGAAGATAGAGAAAAATGTCATGTAGACCGAGAGAAACGCTCTGAAAGCTGAGAAGGGGGACCTTTAGCGTACTCTTGTTGCTAAATGGTTAACCCACTTCATTTCTGTAATGACTCGGTCATTTTTCTTCCTTTCCTTTTCTCAGATTTTCACGGATATTTATTTATTTATTTTCGTTAATCTTTTCCTTTCTGAGTTCGGTTTCTCGTCACTTAGTGTCATCTTGAGTACTCAGGGATGGTTTCCAAGACTCTTTTTCGTAGATTGACGACTTCCTTTGAGGACCGAATCATTTTCACTTTTGTGACACTATTCACCTTTCGTCTTTTTCTCGGTTGTCACTTTGTTGGCATAACCTCACTTTTCGTGTTCAGATTTGACTCTGGTTTTGCATGTATCCATGATATTTAAATACCATGCTATGTGTATGTTCACTTTTGTAGAAAAGCATGCTAAGTGTTTACTTTTCTTGTAAAAGGTATAAATGCATAACCTTTTTGTAATATTCTAAACTTTTGGGGTTTTTGTGTAATTACTGTAAAGTAATTATTTTTTTGTCTTAGGGACCATTTTGCAATTTAATTTAGAAGATATTTTCAAAAAGGACTTTTTTTGCAATTTCCGGAAAGTGTGACAAGTGTCACACTCTCATTAGTCCACTTGTTGACATTTGTGTGGAAACACTTTGAGGCCTTGGATGAGGACATGTGGAGGGTGGAGATTTAACCACTTGTTGACCTAGGATAGGTGCACTTGTTGTCTTGGATGGTTGACAAGTGTAGGCTTAGGATTAAGCCTACAATGGATGCTCGGATGAGTGACAAGTGTATGCTCTAAATTAAGTCTTGCAATTAATTTTTGGGCCACTTTGGAATTATGGTTTTAAAGAAGGGTTTTTGTGCAATTGACCATAGATGTGTGTGTTGACCATGGTGTAGGATCACCTAGTAAGTGGAGGATTTCTAATTCCTCCACTCACACTTTTTCACATTATGTCATTAGCTTCCTCACCACAAACCCTAGCCTCCATGGATGGAGCTTGAAGCCTTAAGCTTTGACCTTGATTTTTGAGGGCCTTCCACTCATCCTCCTCTACATAAACCTTGAAGAGTTTACCATTTTGTGTTGATTTGCCTTGGATTCTAGAGAGACTCTTCTCTAGTGAGGTAGGGGGTGTTATAATTTATTTTTCCAAGTGATCTTACTTGCTTTTGTGTGAAATACATGTTGTATGCTTGTTTAAATGTTAATTTGAGAAATTAATAATTATTGTGACTTACATATAACTTATTTTTGACTTGGTATATGGCATGGCCTTCACTTGATCCTTGTTATATAATTAATTGGAGTCATTTGAATGAGTTTTCAAATTTAGAGATTTAAATGAATTTAATTTGATTCTATTGGTGCGACCCGAGTGTGTGCACAAAATAATGCACAACACTTTAGGTTTAGAAATAATGTCAAGTGGGCACTAGATTTTAAAATTTATAAAACCATTAAACACTTATACTATGAAGTATGAAGTGAGCAGGGATCGTCCCAAGAGATCTAAACAATTATAGGTTTTCCAGAATTGAATTCTACTTTAGTGCTTATGTGATTGCTAAAAAGGTTTGGTTTTGTGATTAGACTAATTTAAAACTTAATAATATATTTTACGGACTATATAGATATGGTTGAGACATCTAGGATGTATCTATGTATCGGGTCTCTGTTTGGATTGTAGTTAGGATAGAACTTGTTCGTGGGCCTGACCCACTATTTTTTTTTCCAGGTAACGGATGGTTCCAGGTCTTAGAGCTTGTTCGTGCTGAGCAGAGATGGCTACTCATTCTTCCGGCGATATAGGAGTTCTTCATGATTTAGCATTGGAGTTCTTCAGTTGTTGTTTTTTAGTATTGGAGTTTATTAGGGGTCCACCAGATGGATTCCCGAGTTGTATTAAAAATAAAGAAGTTGGATGTATCAGAATAATTTTCTTATTTCTAAAATTTTATTTTGAGGTTTCAGTTTTACATTATGTTCTTAGTTTCTTTTCAGTAGTTTTATTTATTCCTGTTTATCTTAATCGTATTCTGTGTTCATTTATTGCTAATTGGTTTGATATCCTCGGGTAATCGAGCGTGGGCCTGGCCAACCCACATCTGGAAATCCGGGGTATCACAATTGGTATCAGAGCACTCCAGATTCTAGTGTCCTTAGGAGTGTTTTCGTTATAAGACTTCCGCGTTGCCTCTCTTAAAAGCTTAGAGCTATAATAGGATTCGTTGTTCTCTCTTTACGGTTCGTTAGGAGAAGCTGATGTTAATTAAATTCTGTAGATACAGAGTGATTGACACTAGGAGGAGAATGGGGTTCAAAGCGAAAGCGATACAGACGCAAAGGAGTAATAGTGTACGTTATCGAGTTATTTGCTAGAAGTGCCACACATAAGATTTTCATACTAAGCTTTCAATGAAATCTATATTACTTAACATCATAAATGTAATCTCAAGATATCCATAATAAAACCTCAATGGAATCATAAGTATTAGGCAATTTATTAGACAATAATCTACCTATACAATTTAATAGTCACATACATGCTTTAATCCACAATCCTAAGTCAAGCATATAAAATCTTTATTTACATGCTAGTACAAGAATTTAAAAAAGGCATGCAATCAATATATATTAAGCTCTAATATATATAAAACCCAAAGAGGATAAACATACAACCACCCCTACCTCAATAGTGAATTGAATCTCTATAATCCAAGCAACCAAGCTCAAAATGGAAAACAAGTTTAGGGTTAATGAAGAGAGAGTGAGAGGAAACTTTTGTGTTCCAAGGTTTTAAGTCTAGGGTGAATGGAAGGAAGCCAAAAATGAAGTCAAAGCTATTAACCAAGCTTTTCTCCAATGGTGGCTAGGTTAGGGTTCTTGAAGACAAGTGAAAATGAAAATAATAAAGTGTAAAATGGTGAGTGGAAGGGCTAGAAATCCTCCACTCACTATGTGCTCTTACACTACCTCCCTCACACACACAATGCAAGACTAAATGGTGAACCTACACTTGTCATGAATCTATGGTTCATTCCTAGGCTTAATCGCAAGCCTACACTTGTCACCATCCTATGTAAACTTCCAAGAATTAATATTGAACCTACATTTGTCAACCATCCATGCCAACAAGTGCACCAATCCTAGGCCAACAAGTAGGTGAATCTCCACCCTCCACATGTCATCATCCAAGGCATCAAAGTGTTTTCACACAAATGTCAACAAGTGGACCAATAAGAGTGTGACACTTGTCACACTTTCTGAAAATTACAAACAAGTCCTTTTTGAAAATATCTTATAAATTAAATTACAAAATGGTCCCTAAGATGAAAAATAATTACTTTGCATAATTATACTAAAACCTCTCAAGTTTAGGTTAATTACCAAAAAGTCATGCTTTCATGCACTTTACAAGAAAAGTAAACATCCAATATGTTTTTCTACAAAAGTGAAAATGTAGATATCATAGAAATGAAATATCATGGATGTATGCCAAGCCGGAATCAAATCCGAGCACAAAAAGTGAGGTTTAGCAAGGAAAAATGAAAAATGACTAAAGGACGAAAAAGGGAAAAGACAAAAAAAAAAAGAATTTCTAAGAAAAGAAAGGAAGGAAAATGATCGGGTCATTACAATCTACCCTCCTTAAAAAGGATTTCGTCCCCGAAATCGAATTGTACCTGAAAGAGAGAACAAATGGGGATACCGAGAGCGAACCTCCTGTTCGAGCTCCCAGGTAGCCTCCTCAGTGCCGTGATGTCTCCACAAGACCTTAACCAATGGAATGGTCTTGGTTCGCAAAACCTGCTCCCGTGAATCAAGAATCTGGACTGGACCTTCCTCGTAAGTCACATCCTCATCAACAACATCATCTGTCCACCGTAAAACATGCATTGGATTCGGCTCATACTTCCTCAACATAGACACATGAAACTCTTGACTTGCTCGTGAGTCATACTCGGGTAAGCCTCTGCCTCTACCCACTTTGTGAAGTAGTCTATGGCTAGTAACAAATATTCTTTCTACTCGACTGCTTTGGGTAAATGTCCAACTATGTCAATACCCCATTAGGCAAATGGCCATGGACTTGCCATTGTGTGTAAATTTTCAGCAGGCTGATGCTTCATTGGGCCGTGCCGCTGACACTTATCGCATCGCCTAGCATATTCTTCGGCGTTCCGAGCCAGGTAAGGCCAAAAGTAACCTTGAGTTAAGATCTTATATGTAAGGGACCTGCCACTGGAGTGGTTGCCACAATCTCCATCATGAACTTGCTTTAACATTGTGAAGGTCTCACTAGGGCTTAAACATTTCAGGTAAAGACCTGAGAATAATTTCTTGTATAATTGATTATTAATAATGGAGTATTTGGCTATAGCGAACCTTACTTTCCTTGCCTCGGCTTTCTGGTCTAGAAGAGTTCCTTGCTTGAGGTAAGCTTCCAACAGATCCATCCAACATGGCTCTCGTGGATCACCATCATCTCTTGCCGAGGACTCATAGTTGTTTCGTCCAGGGTGTCGATTGGCACTAACTGCACCAAATCTTCATTTGAAGAAGATGCCATGGTAACCAGTTAATCTGCTTCGGAGTTTTCTTCTAGAGGTACTCGGTGGAATTCGATCTGATCGAACTCACGTGTAGCACTTTCTACAGCTTTTTTGTATGCTTTCATTCTATCCTCTTTGGGCTGATACTTTCTTGTCACCTGATTAACAATGAGTTGGGAATCACTAAAAACTTTAGACATCGTACCTGGAGCTGGCTAGCCAATCGAAGCCGTACAAGTAAGGCTTCATACTTGGCCTCGTTGTTAGTCAGGCGGATTGATTACTGTAGCTTGGTGCCTTCAGGTGTTAAAATAATGATTCTAGCTCCTCCACAAGCTAGATTCGAGGAACCGTCGACCCCAAGCTCCCACTGTGGTTCAAGAAGCTTTCGATCTTCCGGTTTATCCTCATACTCTAAGAGAAAATCAGCCAACGCCTATCCTTTGTAGGACACATTTGGTTTATACGTTATGTCGAAGGAGCTGAGCTCGATTGTCCACTTGGTAATTCTTCCAGATAAATCTAGCTTGGAGAGAATAGCTCACATAAGGTAGTTAGTGAGAACCACAATGCTATGAGACTCGAAATAGTGCCGAAGCTTTCTTTTTGCATACACCAATACTAGTATGATCTTCTCGGCTTTACTGTACCGTGTCTCAGCATCTGTCATCATCTTACTTGTCTAGAAGACTAGGTATTGACTCATTCTTTCCTCTTTGATTAGTACGACACGTGTGGCTATTCCAGAGATTGCTAAGTACATGATGAGAGTTTTACTAGGCTGTGGAGCAGAAAGAATTGGAGGTCCATCCATGTAGCGCTTCAGTTGATTGAGAGCCATTTGCTGCTGAGGTCCCCATATATCTTTGTTATTGGATTTTATTGCACCAAAGAACGATTTGCACTTATCTGATAATCGAGAGATGAAGCGGCTGAAAGCTGTCATTTAACCGGTTAGAACATGTACTTCTCTGCGAGTTTTTGGTTCCTGATTCTGTATGAGGGCCTGAGCCTGAGCTGGGCGTACCTGTATTCCTCTTTTATTAACAATATGGCCGAGGAATTGGCCTGAGGAGACTGCAAAGGAGCACTTAGAAGGATTCAGCTTCATGTTGTACTTCTTGAGAGTGTCGAAGATTTCCTGGAGGTGCTTTGGATGATCCTCCTTCTTCACACTTTTAACCACTATGTCATCAATGTAAGCTTCAACTGTCTTTCCTAGCATCTCGTCGAAGATCTTGTTAACAAGACTCTGGTAAGTGGCCCCAGCATTCTTCAGACCGAAGGGCATGACTTTGTAATAGTAAGTGTCCTTTTCTGTAATGAAGGCAATTTTTTCCTCATCCTCTGGATTCATTAGGATCTAATTGTATCCAGAATACGCGTCGAGGAATGTAAGTCTCTCGTAACCAGTGGTAGCATCAACCATCTGGTCTATCTTGGGTAGAGGAAAGCTATCTTTAGGGCAAACATTGTTGAGATTTATGAAATTAATGCAAACCCTCCACTTCCCATTCTTCTTTTGAACCATCATCACGTTTGAGAGCCATTAATTGTGGGTAATGCACTTCTCGGATGAAGCCTGCCTGAAGCAGCTTGCCCATATCTTCAGTAATAATTCGATTGCGCTCGGGAGTGAACCTTCTGTGTCTTTGTTTAACTGGCTTGAACGCCGGATTCACCTTCAGGTTGTGGCATGAGATTGAAGGGTTGATCCCAATCATGTCCGAATGATCATAATCATGTTCGAATGGTCCCAAGCGAACGCATCTGCATTTCATCGGATGACATCAATTAAAATTTTCTTCTCTTCAGCTGTTGGGGAAGAGCCCGTATACGTGACTTTCTGAGGATTGCCAAGGATAACTTCGACGGTCTCGAGGGATTCCTCGTTGAGTTTTATAGCTTCGGCTTCCTCCTTTGCCTTCAGGTACTTAGGCAAAAGGCTCTGTAATTGCTATTTGACAGTACTTTCGAGGGTTGCCTCTGGCTCTGGCCGAGTCTACTTAGTCCCTTTTTTTGCCTCATTCAACGTCAGCGTGTAGCATTCTTTGGCAGCGATCTGATCTCCCCATAAATTAATAACCTTTTTGCTGCCCGGAGATAAGCATCGCATCACTTGGTGGAGGGTAGACGGGACCCCATTCATTTGGTGGATCCAGCCTCTGCCCATAATGAGATTATAGGATGGGTGGATTTCTGTCAGAACAAAGTTTTCCTTCAATGTCCTTTTCGCTGCGGTAACAGATAAATCAATTACCCCGATGGGGTCCACCCTTGTGCCATCGAACCCCATTAATGGACTTGATGTGGGCCGAACTGATGATGATGGGATCTCTAGTTGTTCAAAGACTGTTTTTGTGATAATATTGGCACTACTACCGGGGTCCACTAAAACTCTTTTGATCATGCAATTTTCCACCAGAAGATTGATGACTAATGGATCCTCATGGGGAAGTTAAACCCGGGATAAATCTCCACGCCGAACCCAACAAAAATACTGCTTGAACTAATTGTGTTCACCGTAGACAACCTCCTTAGCTTATGAGCAGCCCTAAGTCTGAATCGGTACACCTATTTCAACTCTTGATTGTCTTCTGACCTTCCATGTATTGCATGAATAACCTTCACTTGGCTTCCCTCCACCTTCCGAGGGCTAACCTCCTGAGGCCTCACTTATTCCTTTGGTGTGAGGTAGTCTACCAACTCACCTCTGGTTATCATGTTTTTTACTTGACGCCTAAGGGATCTACAGTCATTAGTTGTATGCTTGTAATCCCTATGGTAGGCACAGTGTTTGCTTTTGTCCCTTTGCTCCAAGGGCTATCTCATTGGCTGAGGGGTTGTAAATCGTATCTTGTTCTCTTGGAATAACCGAGCCAGGGTTGTGCGGAGAGGTGTAAAAATCTCCTCTATCCTTTGCCTCTTCTCAGGTAACTGAACGACTGGTGCTGAGGCAGGCTGGCTCCTTTGGCTTTTTGAGCTAAGAGCTTTCTTTTGAGGCTTATTCTCTACTGCGACGAGGGTGGCATGTTGTGCTCGATGGGACACATTCTCCTCCAGTCGAATGTAAACTTGTGCCCTGGCATTGAGGGTCTGCATGTCCAGAGGAGAATATTTGACTAAGGAAGTATGGAACTTAGTTCCTTGAATCATGCCGAGCTTGAACGTTTTTATAGCAGTCGCTGGATGACAATCTACTATCTCCAAGGCCTCCATATTGAATCTGGACAAGAAATCCTATAATGTTTCTCCTCTCTTTTGTCTTATGGTGAAGAGGCTTAAGATGGTTTTCTTCTGCTTCTTGTTTCCGCTGTACTGTGCTAGAAACATGGTGCACAAAGTCTCATAGTTTGGAATGAACTTGTGCGGCTTATTCTTGAACCATTCCAATGAGGCTCCCGTCAAACTAGTTGGGAACACCTTACACATGAACGCATCATTGTGGTTGTCTAGGGCCATCTTCTGCGAGTAATGGTCAAGGTGACGAGAGAGATCTCCTGTTCCATCAAACTTAATGAAAGAAGGCATGGCAAATTTCTTAGGTCTGTCAACATAGTATATGTCATCGGTGAACGGAGTCTTCACTAGAGAATTCTTGTGCTCTTTAGCCATTTTGGCAGGCGTCTGAATCCTCAGGAGCCTCTTCTCATCAAAGGCCTCATGGACACCAGTGCCATCTAGAATACCATTGGACCATACCGTAAGCTTACGGTTGGACTCGACCTGTTCGTCTTGCATGCGATGAGGATGGTTGTCCGAGGCGACCACTTTGGTCCTTGTCCTCTACTCTTGCGGAACTTCGTTAGGTCGAGCCTCGTTAGGCCGAGCCTCATTGGCATGAGGTTCGTTAACCGGAGGGATGTTTTGGTTGGGGGGAGGTGCTGCTGCATCATCTTGTGGTGGCGACAGTGCAATCTGGGCCATAGCTGCTTGGAGGGCATCGCTCTTCTGCTGCAGTGAAGTAATCTGAGCTGTGCTGGCCTCGTTCGCTTGACGAAGTGTTTCGAACTGCTGTAGGAACTCTTTTCGCATCTTTTGTATTAACTCCATCTGTTGATCAACTGCTGCTGTGGACCTTCCGATTGACATTCCAGACCGTAGTAACATAAACAATTAAAATCACCCGTGGGAGTATATTTCTATACGTTTCCCATAGACGACGCCAAAATATAAGTGCAAAATTTCTCTCTATATAAAAAATAAAAAGAAATTAAACAATTCACTAAAATATGAGATAATAAGTCACAAGAACTATTCAGAGAAAAGCGTATATTGGTTGATGATCTTTATTGGAGATTTGTGTCTCTATTTATATACAAAAAGATAATAAAATTATGATAGGACTCGCCTTACTTGCCCTCTAATTAATTTCATATACAATTCTTTACTAATTCAGATTTCTTCCTTTTGTAGAACTTTCCTTTCGTGATGAACCTTTTGCTTAGTAGGAGTCATTCATTCTTTAAACGCATTTGGGCCGAATGCAACTTAGTCCAAATGACTTTGTTAATGGGTCATCTCAACACTAGCGGCTTGGGCTGTTGGTATCTTTATCCGGACTTAAACCGAGTTGCACTTTATTCTTAATTCATCAAAGAATTAAAAATAAGACTTATACTGTGGTTAGGTGACTGACTTTCATTGGAGGGAGATTTTTCCCTCCAAAGTCACCCAATAGAATCCATCGGTTTTCAAAATGATGTGGTGGCAGATTGTGTGGATGTTGTAGGGTTTGACTCCATTATTTAATTTATTTTGTCCTTTTGCCTCCCAAGTCCCAACACTACATATCCCTATCTATATAATCTCTCATACACCCGTTATTTCCCAACTGAAATGGCGAATCCACCTTCGGAGACGGAGAACTCACTTCAGAGTCTCCGCCAATACATGGCGGCGGAATCTCAACTGAAGGCCGGTATAGGGGAGGCGAATCTCCTTCAGATGCAGAGGTGACTACGGGGTTGGAGCAATATGCAGATCAGATCGACTCTGCAGAGCATCTTATTGGAATTTGGCTGCAGACACTACATGATTTTGAGACGATCTATGTTTCGACTGAGGAGGAGATGAGGCGTGCATGCAGGTTCGTTCGTGAAGAAGGCTATGGTGGCCGGGTGGGAGTAGTTCCTGGAGTCAGCCCTAAGATGCTCTCCCTAATGCGCAATATTGCTGTTGGTAATGGTGTCGGTAAGACCTTGAAACGCTTGTTAATTAGTTCCCAAACAGAATACCCCATTGCCTACTGGTTGGGAATTTTGGATGCTTTTAATATTATTTTTATTTTAATAATATATACCAAACCAGAATACATCAGCAAGTCATGAAATCCCCCGCACCACCACAAATCCCACTGAACAGGAATACGAAGTGTCGAAGTTTATACAAAAAATAAATAAATAAATAAAAAATAAAAAACAGCTGATCACAACTACAATGACAGCCCCTCATAACAATTCAGCAAACTCAGCCCAACAGTAGCAGGTATAACCCCTTTTAGTAGCAGCGGAACACAAGTATTCATAGCTCAAGTGAAAGCTGAGCCAACGAAACCTCAATAACCAACACCAATAGGACCTGCAATTGCTCCAACTATTCCCCACTTGATAGAGCTCGGAATCAACCGTGAGTTTTGTAGATAGAGTCAGGTAAAGCCCATTCTTCCGTAAGTTTCTCATTTACTATGTTCTGACTATTTGAATAATGGCCTTGATCAGGGTATCAAATCTCTATATTCATTTGAGAAGATCCTAAGATTAATATCCTTCCGAACCTCATATATTGTAGCAGCAGAAGCAAGCTTGTTAATAAGAGTTCTGCCTTTCAAAGTAAGGATTACCCAGTTCAGCATCCCATACCAATCAGATCAGGCCACCTGATAACTCCTTTAGCTGCAATGGCCCTCCATATTCTGCTAGTGAAGCTGCAAGCAAAAATAGGTGATCTGTGATCCTATCTTTAACTCTGCTTCTGCGAAAAGTACAGACCCCAACAGTGATAATTCCTTTCTGAATAAGAGTTGTGTAGATAGTCTCTCTTGAATGGAAGCCAGACTACAAAATAATGTTTTGGAATAGCCAACTGTTGCAACACTGGCAAGTTAAACAAACATTCTATAGGATGTTTTTTCATGAGAAAAGCTGAAAGGGTTTATCTGGAAAAGATATCAGTTTACGTTAATTATTTCTGACTTGATTTACCTCAAATATATTTGATGATATCAGTTTAAGTTATTTATTTTTTACTGGAGTTTTTTCATGAGAAAAGCTGAAAGGGTTTAAAACATGTGGTTCTGATAGATCAAAGGCGAGACTGTTTTGGATATTAGAAGACTATGACAAACGTGGAAAGCTCATTTAATTTGAGTGGGATGTACTAGAAAGATTCCTAACTTAGTATCAATATTTTCTTAGCTTCGGAAATCAATTAATTTAATTACCACAATGAATTCCAATTTCAAAATTTCAAGTTATATATATATATTTTTTTAATGCTTAAAAGCATAGGCATGTATAGGAACTTTATGGTTGCTTTATTCTCCAATTGGAGGGTAGGATTTGTTAAGTTATTGCATAAGTGAATCATCAAGATTAATGGGTTATGTTAATGTGTTAGTGCTACGATTTTAAAAAGTACATTTAACATAGTTGTTCCTTTTATATTTTTGTGTTAATGCTGTAATTTATAACGTGCATTTAACATGGTTGTTCCTTCTAACTTTTGGCTTTTCTTAAACTCCCTAAGTATCTAGTAGTAGGTTTTAAGGCAAACAAATTGTCAATTATGTACCAATAGGCCAGTGGCCTAGCGTTATCAAGCCCCTACTTCTCAAAGAGAGGTCAGGGGTTCGAGCCTCAGTGGAGGCATGTGTGTGTGAGTACCAACTAGGAAAAAAAACAAAATTGTCAATTATGTCATTCCATTCCTTCACATTGCCCGAGTCATATTTAGTTGGTTATGTCATGTGTACTCATGGTATTGTTTTCTTTACTCTTTGTATTTAATTATTGCACAAGTATGTTTGTCTTTTTATGCACCTTCCGTCTAAAAATTCCGGTTGTATGTTCCAAATGGTAGCTTGAATTGAAATCTATTTTGAAGTTGAGATCATTTTCTTGTATTCTTCCAAAGTGACCATTTTCAGATAGATTTCTCTTGATTAAATGAGTTGCACATTATATACATTAGCTGCAGAAAATCTCAGAATGGCCATTTAGTGCAGTGTAAAATTTTGCATATTTTATACATCTTGATTTGTTCTTCATTTTTTCTTCTTTCTACAACTATCTCATAACTCTTTTTCCCTTATTATCTTCACCAATTATCAATTGACTAAAATATGTTCATTAACAGTTTGCAGATAGGTCCATATACGGGGAACCAAAAGCTTAGTTTTGTGTTGCAAGGTACTGCCTCCTTTCTCTCTGTATAGCTAGATACTTATAAATTTCATGCTATAAGGTGTATGTTTTAGTTATTTGTTCTCTGATGTTCTATAAGGTTGGTGATAAATGCCTATAACAATAAGGTTCACCTAATGCTTCACTGCTCTTTGGTTCCACTTTTATGAATCTTTTATTTATCCGCTACATGCAAACAAAGCGTGCTTAATTTTGTTTGATGATGTGATTGTCTTCTAGAAAGGAGAATCTACCACAATGGACGATGTCAAGAGAATCTAGTTTAACATGGTTCATAAGCTTCGAATAAGTCAAGTGATACTTCTTGATGCATTTTTTCTATTTGAGTCATTTTTAAATTACTTGGATTGTTTTCTCTCACAAAGTGGCTGGACAATCCATTGATACGTTATACTGCCATGTCTTTATGGTACCATGTTGGAAACATTTAATTATTTCTCTTCACCGATTTAAATCATCTAAATTGTGTTACTAAACCACTTTTCTTGATTAGGTGAAGAGAATTATCTATTAAATTTAAAATAATTTTGGTTTAACCTATAAATTTTGTTCCAGTCTTAGGAAGAGTTGGGTAAATTGTTGACGATCCGCTAGATTTCGTTAAATAAAATGACACTTTTATTTGGTTCCATGAATCCATTTGGTGTTGCTATTGTAATGAAAAAAAAACTTATATGAAGTACTTTTTAACACTTAAATGACTAACAATCTGCTAATTTTATTCACTTGTCCTTACGTGGGCGTGAATCCTTGACCTTTCATTTTTGTATTATGGTTCCAGGTGTGCCTGAGCTGAGGAGTAACAAGAGAGATCAAGATGTTATTGCATACGAGGTACCTGAATTCACGTGTAAGCATTAAACACATCAATGTCATTTTTGTATCGATTGAATGATCCAATCAACACTAACAATTTGTTTGCCATTTGAGAGAATATGCTCCCTCAACTTTAGATTTTGTAAGACTCAGTTCATATTGCACTCTTTTATGTATTTTGCATTGTCCTAACATGCGTATTAGAAAGAAAAAAAGAAAGAAAGGGTGTTAGGAAAATGAACCTTTGATTTAGATATTAAATTTCCTATGAAGAGAGAGAGAGAGAGAGAGAAACTTGTGCAATTTGATTTTATTCAGAACAGAGACATAAGAAGGTTAAAAATCAGAGTCCTGAGAGGAGCAATGGCGACAATCCATTTCAGTACCACTGAATTTTGCCAAGGGCTGAGGAAAGAATGGATCCATATAGCAGACTTCTTTGAATAGCTCTCGTGATTGTGTAGATAATCCACATAGTTTAGCTGAAAGCTTACTTTGTAGCCTTCTTCCACTTCCATATTGTCCATTAGTGTCCACACGAAATATCCATTCGTGTTTGGTCCCTTCCTGCATTCGCAAAAAACAAACACATTTACATGAACATGAATCATGAACAGTGTTCGGGACTAATTTGGATTGGTATGTTATTAGCCACTTAACATCCTAGAATAGAGCATTTTTTGAGTTCCATTTCTCTATCAGCAGTAAAACTAGTCAATGGGTAATGTAGGACACCTATCCCATATGTCACTGTGCTTGTCCTGAGATCTCCATAAATACTTAATTAGTACAACCAGTAATGTCTTTAACATCATGAACTTGTCAAAGAGACAAATAACATGTTTTCTGAGCTATAAATGCAGAGATAGGACTTTAAACCAATACCGCCTCCCAAACCAATACTCTGATACCATATTACAATACTAATTATCCCAAACATTTAAGTTGTTAAGGACTATGCCACTGCTTCATGAACGACATGTAGATGGTTACAAATGTGATCTATTCCGTACTCATCGTTTAACACTCTCAATTTCTTGTTTCTTCCCAGCTGCTTCTGCTTCCTTCACCGAAACTGTGGTGGAGGACTTTGAAGTAACCCCTATTGGGATTGTAACAAAAATGTAGTAAATTTGCTGACCTTAACCATTAATCTTTACTGAAAAAATAATGAAACCAAAAAAACTAACTTAAAAAGCTATTAGCCATTCTCAATGATGTAGAGCTTAGGGTGTTTGTATTGTTTTTTTTAGATATAGCAGCAAATCCCTTAGCCCTTCTGGGTAAATGTATATCTTGTCACTCCCATCAGCCTGCACTGGAATTCCGTTAGTTGATGAAAGCATCAAAGAGGTTTTATATTAATTTTTTATTTATTTTATAGAGTATTCAAAATTTACAAAATTACAATTAAAGGACTTATTGGCATGTAGTCTTGACTAATTTTTTCTCCTCTTTAGAGAATTTAGGAACTCAATGCACCCACTCCTTCATTGCAGATGGATAATCACCATAGCACAGTGGATCCATGTACCTAATTAACCTCCTTGTGTAGTTGTCTGGCCCAAGATATAAGAAACTGGACATTAAAATGCACAAATTTATCCAAATATGCCATAGTCTACAGATTGAAATGAAAAAGAACCCATTAAGACCTGCAATCCTTATAGCCTTACTTGTTACGACAGAACTGAATGGAGTTACTGAGAAAAATAATGGTAAAGGAATGGCTGTAGCCTACATTCACTTTGGAGATCAAAGAGTACACAAGTAGTGGCTCACACTCAAAACCCAAATACGCCCAATAACCCAAGGGAGTTAGAGTCTAACACTCTCCATCTAAATGCTCACTTGAGCTCTACACTCTGCACACGTTGAGGCAGAATGCCTCTTGCTATTTGTAGGCAAACCATTCCAGCATACCCCGTAAAATTGGGTGAGATATAGCATCAATATTTGACTTTTGCCAAGCAGCTGTCATTTGTACAGAGGCAGCTGTAATATGAACTGCAAGCTGCAAGATGCATTTATTGCATCAACTATCACTCCATATAGGCTGCCAAAATCAATGTTGACTTTTTAACAAATCTCCACATTGGCGAAATTATGATCGATTTTGGGAGTTTATGGAGGTGCAGCAGAAGTGTGGGATGGTGTCGTCGAGCCCGCAAGTCTTATTGCCACAAGATACTTGGACTTGTCCCTTGGATGGAATCATAAAATGTAATGTCAATGCTAGCTTTTCTAAATCTTTGCTAATGGGAGGTGGCGGTGTTGTTTTTAGGGACTCTTTGGGTGCCATTCTTAAAGCAGTGGTGATCAAACCTTTCCCCTCCTCTTCAGTGTTGATGGCAGAAACTTTTTGTCTTCGACGGGCAGTTTGTTGGGCTTGATCATTTAATTATCCGGATGTATGTTTCGAATCTGATGCTAAGCGGATTGTTGATGCCGTACTTTGTGCGAGTGCTTGTTCTATGGAGATTGCCTCCATTATGGATGACATCTGGATAAAGCTGAAGGATTTCTCATGGGCCTCAGTCTCTCCCATGTTCCGCGCAATGGTAATCAGGTGGCTCATGCACTTGATTCCCTCTCACGGGGTCGCATTAAGTATGACAATGTGCTTGTTGCAGTCCCTTCCTTTATCTTGAGGCTGGCAGAACTAGACGGGGGTGTTGCTAGGTGTTAATGGTTCTTCTTTCCTTGTATGTGGTTTTGTTCTTTGGGTTGTTACTGCCAGGAAAAGAAAAAAAAAATACATCCAACCTGTCTTCTCCACAAAATCCCTTAGGGCAATTCTCAGCATGTGAGAATACCAACCAAGTCCAAACAATGTTTGAACTTGAGAAATGGAATGGACTTTGTCATCATATCCGCCGGATTATGCGTTGTAAATCTTCTTCAATGTGATTTCCCTCTAGGATATGATCTCCGGAATAAAGTGATATCTAACATTGATGTGTTTGGTTCCTTAATGATACATTTGATTTTTGGTCAAAGAATAGCACTCTAGCTATCACAATAAACAATAGTTGTACTATGTTGCAAACCCAAATCACAAATCAAACCTCTTAAACAAATAACTTCTTTCACTGCTTAAGTGACTGCCATATACTCCTTCTGTAGTGGAGAGAGCAACTGTCAATTGCTAAGTTACTTTCCAATTGATTGCACAACCTGAGAGAGTGAAGACCTATATTGTTAGAGAACTTCTTCTGTCTAAATCACCAGTGTAGTCGGAATCAAAATCGATAATGTTATTATCACTGCTCTTCTGATACACCAATCCAACATTTGCACTACCTTTCAAATACCGAAGAATCCACTTCACAACTTGCCAATGCTCTTTCTCCGGATCATCCGTATATCTACCAACAACACTAACATCGTATAGAATATCAGGATGAGTGCAAAACATAGCATACATAATACTACCAACTGCACTAGCATCTGGAACACGTGACATTTACTCCTCCGTGATCTACGGTGATAATTCAATAGAGAGATGAAAATGAGTAGCAAGTGGTGTACTCACGGGCTTGGAATTCTGCAAATAAAACTGCTCTAGCACTTTTTCTATATAACTCTTCCGTGACAAGCTCAACTTGCTAGCTTGGCGATCCATGTGAATCTCCGTGCCCAAAATATTTTTAGTTGCACAGAGATATTTCATCTCAAAATCAGTCTTTAACTAAAATTTTAACATCTTTATTTTTGGCATGTCTTTTGTAGTAATAAGCATGTCATCGACATATAACAAATATACAAAAGAACCATTTAGGAGCTTCCTGTAGTAAACACAATTGTCATGGCTACTTCTAGAGTATCCATGTCCAACCATAAAAGTGTCGAACCTATTATACTACCGCCGCGGGAGATTGCTTTACTCCATACAAGGATTTCTTCAACAAGCAAACATGATCTTTCTTACCTTGAACGATGAAACCCTCTGGTTGATGCATATAAATTTGTTCTTCAAGCTCACCATGCAAAGAAGCTGTCTTGACATCAAGTTGCTCAAATTCTAAATCAAATAGAGCGACCATGGCAAACAAAACGCGAATAGAGTTATGCTAGCTTCACAACTGGTGAGAACAATTCGTTGAAGTCCACTCTTTCTACTTAACTGTAACCCGTGGCTACCAAGCGTGTCTTGTACCTTGCATCTTCAACACCTAGAGTTCCCTTTTCTTGAAAACCCATTTGCATTCAGCAATCTTTTGGCCTTTACGTGGTTTCACAAATGGAGCACGTTTACCAAGCAAAGTTGCTAACTTGAGGCTTTTATTGACAAATGTTAGTAGTACTTTCTGGCCTTCTAAAGTATAAGATTGAGGTTAAGTTCTCGTAAGGGCAGAGTGAGTATGTGAATGTATTTGTTGTTCAGGTGAGGAAAAAAACATAACCATAATTTGTTATTGTCCTTATTGATGATTCCAAAAAAGTAGACTTACAAATAAAGAAATGAGTAATGCTCTTAAGAGGTCCCTCTCATAAGAAGAGCCACGAGTTGTTAAATGGGGAGAGCTCAAGCCTCTTCTCATGTGAGAGATCTCCTAAGAGTAGTATTCATAACTAAATAAATAACCGATTAGGAAAATTTTGGGGGAAAAAAAATTTATAAGAAGTATCACCTTATTGTATCGACCTATAATGAGCTCTGACCAGAATATTTAACAAAGAGTTCATAACAAATAATTCCTACAACATAATTGGAACGTCCAAACCCTTTGAAAAGCTCAAGGCTCTTCTCATGAGAGAGCCCTCTTAAGAGCATTACTCATAACTAAATAAATAACCAATTAGGAAAATTTTGAGGAAAAAAAAATTATAAGAAGTATCAACTATTATAAACTCTGTCCAAAACATTTAAGAAAGAGTTCATCACAAATATTTTAATTGATCAATACTTGAGATAAAAATAATGGCCAGTGTCTTTTGAAATAATCTATACTATTATTATAAGTACAAAGATTTTTAGTGTTTCAATATTTATTTATTAACATAATAAATATTTATAAATTATTCTAAGAAGAGTTTTTTAAAGTGTTTCTATCAAACTCTGACACAAATTATTTATCTATTATGAGTTATTTATTTATTTTTAATTAATATAAGGTCGGTGGAAGAGTTTCTATAAAACTCTAATTACCTATTTATTATGAATTATTTTTATTTTCTTAATTAATATAAACTATTTAGAAGTTTTTATTTATTTAAATATATATTTATATATTGCCTAAGGTTATTATTTTATCTTTTAAAAAGAGTTTCATTGATTTGTTGAATATTATTCATTTCTAAATAAATATTAGAGAATTATAATAAAAAAAAATAGTCTTGATTTTTATATTATTTTAGGTTTTTGAAAATATACCTATCAATAATTGAATTTTTATTTAAAAGTTCAATTAAAAATTATTATTTTTATCTCTCTATGTCAATTTTTATGTTCTTTGATCATTGAGTTTTGCTAATTATATTTTATAGAATAATTTTTTATTTATTATTATAAAGATTTTATAAGTTATCATCATTATTTAATCTTGTAATCTGTTTATCTTAATTAATTTATCCGTATGATTATTATTTTAAAATTTAATTATAATTATTAGTTGAAAAAATAATTATTTTATTAAATATTAATTTTAACTTATAATTTACTAACGTGACGCACTTACTATTTTACTAGTTTTGATATATAACGGAAATGTATGGGAAATGCTAACTTGGCTCTAGTGTATGAACAAGTAGGTATTAATCTACGCGTGCACGTGTTTGCCAAATGTCAGTAGGTAGCGCAAATATCAATGACCTCGTTCTGTTTCATGCCTACAAATTTATATATAATGCTTCCTAAAATTATTTTAGTTTCTGAAATTCTCTTTAATTTTTTTTCTTATTTTTCTATTTCTCTCTTTAAATTCCTTTAATTTTTTTTAAAAAGTAAAATTTTCCTTCTTAAGTCATGCTTTAATTTTTTTCTTTTCAAAATTATGTCATTCTTCTTTTCTTTTTCTTCTTCTTCTACTAACTATTATTCTTATTCTTCTTTTTGTTATTTTTTATTTTTTGTACTTTACCCCCTAAATTGAAATTCTGACTCCCCCTGCTCACTTTATCTTTTTGTCTAATCCCCTAACAAGCGGAGAAATTAGCTTATTTTTTTCTTCATATATATATATATATATATACTCATTTATTTATAAAGTTTCCTCCATTTATAATCTTACATCATTGCTAAGTGGGATGTAATAATAGGATTGTTATGTAATATTGAAAATAAAAACCGATCATAAAATAATATTTTAGCTCCTACGAAAGGGGTGTAGGCATTTATAAATCACAATAAAACAAAATATAAGAATAGAAAAGTAAAATTTAAAATTAGGTATATATCACACCATACCATTTCATATTTTCGACTTATAATTGTCGATCATGCAATTTGGATAGTTATTTATGGTGGAAATAAAAAAGTAAATGTGTAGAATTTTCTATATATTATGCAATTTATATGTCCCTCATATATTATAACTATGGATTCATGCAAATCGGATTGTTAATAAATATAGTATCATAAATATAGTGTGATTATTAATTTTAAAAATCCCAACTTCCAAACTTACTACTCACTGTGAAACACTCTCTTGTTGAATATTTAGCTATGTCACTCTATTATCTTCAGGAGCTAATAAGGGTGGAGAAAATACTCCGAGAAGAAAATCGTGGTTGGAATACGCTCAATGACGAGAGAGACAAAATACACCATCGTCTTGATCATGTGGAACAGAAGATTCTGAATAAAACAGAGGTGGCGGCCAATGCAAAGCAACAACTGATGGGTCTTCCGATCATATATTGCCATTTCCGACGTTGATGAGCTTCACTACATGGCGAAGCTTGTGAACGACTCCAACTACAAGGGAGATATCGTGTTTGCCCAGTCCGTTGATGAAGAAGCACAGGAGGAGTTAAAGAAAGTTGCTCACGGATTGGGCATTAAAATTGAAGAAAATAATTGAGATGGGTTAATTTGTCCAGAAAAAGAGGGTTTAGGTGTAAAAATACTGAATTTTGATTTGAATAAAGGAAGGAGAGGGGACGAGAGTGATAAGGTGTGTGTGTGTGTGTATATATATATATATATTATGTAACTACTATTGATATATCTTTCACCGCGAGCAACTAGAAATATAGATATGTAAATATTGTTGGGGGCTTCCGCTGCCTCCAACATTTATTATATTAAAAAAAAAATTAAAAATTTGTTTGCATTCATTTTGCTGCTCCTAAAACATTAAAACTACATAGGTCAGGTTATAGTTTCTAAAACTTAGTTGAAATGTTGTTTTTCTTGTAACTGTATATATAAAGTTGGATCGTTATTATCTGAAAAAAAAAATAATTAATAAATTGATAATAGCTAGTGCAAAAGTATACTATGAACACTACCGGCGCGGAGGTGCTTATGAGTTCCTAGTTTGACATTTGGAATGGGCGTTGCGTTGAGGGAAACACTCTTCCTAGATTGCACGTGACATTTGGTGTTGGGCTGCGCCAGTGTCCCTGTAGGGGTGGGTCCAAAGGGCGTTCAAAGAATTCCACGGTTATGAAAAAAAAAAAAAAAAAAATGGAAAGTATGCCATCAACATATCTAAGTACTTATCATCTTTTTTTATTTGGCATCATTATTGTCTTTATGATTTTTGAATTTTATTTTTAATCATTATAGTTCTAAAATAGGTTAACCTAGACATTAATGGTTACTCAGACAAAAAATAAATAAATAAAATTTGAGCAAAAACTTTGACAATTTGAGCCGGTGGAGTCGATGCCTCTAAATAATGAATCTAACACTAATAATCAATGGAGAAAGGACCAACAGAATGTGAATGACAGTAGTGTCCAAGTACATTGTGGTTTTATTTGGAAACGATACTGACATGACACTTCATATGGTAGTGCAAAAATTGAGTTCTACTTTTTCTATCTTTTGTTCAAAAAAAAATTTAGGTTTAATTACAATGACATCCCTGATGTTTGACATATTGACAACCATAAACAATTTAGCTCTTTTTTGGACAAAGACACCCCCTGTAATAATTTTGATCCAAACAAGCCCTTAAAATGTTTGAAAAGACGAAATTGCCCTTTAATATTTAATTCATTTTATGGTAAAATATCAAGACTCATGAAAAGTCAAATTTGCCCTTATATATATACATTATATACATTATTGCCCTTATATATAGATATGTATATGTATATGTATATGCATATGTATATGGAAGAGCAGCGGGGAAGATAGAGCACCAGCCGCCACCACCCTCATCGATGCCGCCACACCCAATTCCCTAACCTCCTCCCGCCACCTAATTGAAGACAACCCAAGAAAAAACCCACCCCTTCGATTTCACCCACCACCACTCACCACTGCCTAGGTTTCCAATCAAACCCCAATTGATTAGTGGCCATCTGAGACTCTTGGTCCGCCGCCGGCGACGACAGACCCATCTGTCCTTCCTCCCAACAACCACAAAGGCTTTCACATCTCCAATCAAAATCAACCGAATCACCACTCACCACCACCGACACCGCTATTGTCGTCAATTTCGCCGCCGTGGATCGTTAATGGAGATGATCCATCTTGGCCACTGGCAAGGTAGATGAAGGCATGTATGTGAATCCGCTTGTCCAACGGATTTCTTGAGACAATAAAATGTTTTCAACAACAAGTGGAAGCTTTGACTCGCACCATCTCTCGTCAATCACGGTGCCGTCACCGCCACCATCTCTCTGCACCCACTGCCACAACCACAGCCACCACCACCGTCCACAACTAGGGCTACAAAACCACCCCCAAAATTTTCTTCTTCCCTTTCTTGCGCGCACACACACACACATATACACGTATACATAGAGAATTGAAATTGCTTCTTCCCTTTCTTGCGCGCATACACACATAGATACATATATACACAAACAAATTGTGTTTCTTCCCTCTCTTGCACACACACATACATAGATACATATACACAGACAAACACATATAAAGAAACCCACCCGAAATTGCACAGAAATTGGGGATTTGTAATTACTCCATCAAGACGAAGACAAATAATTGAAATCACCACCACTGCAACCACATATCTAAGCGCAAACGAGCCGCCACCGCTGAGGACGATAACGACAACTCAACCTTCCTCGACCTCTCCCTTATCAAAGCTATTGACAACTATAAAACAGCCACAAAGTATTAATCGAACTGTTTTGACCTTCAAACAATCACTTCATTACAAATAAGAAACTTACCATGATGTTATCAAACATGAGAATGTCCAATTAATTACTTTTAGTCATAGTATGTTAATTTTTTATTTTTTGTTCTTTTTTTCCTAGTTATGTAAAAGTTTCCACATCTACAAAATTTTATCTTAGCATATAAATAAGACCATTATCCAATGCAAGTAACTTCTATCCATGGCCGCTGCTGTTAAGAGGAAGACACGAGAGATAATTGACTTCTGCCATTATACATACAAAACATCAATCTAAAAAAAAAAAAATACTTGCAATTTAAATTTATGTAGCAAAGGTGAAGCATTTATCAAGGTAGTCAAACCGAGAAGGCTTGCAAAATCATCTGCTACAACTTGCAATGTCAAGTGCTTGAGCTTGGTAAATTCAGGAAGTAGTTGGAATCCTGCATTACCCTGAAAAGCAAAACTTATTATGAATTTACAAAATTAAAAAGGTCATTACCTAGTGTCGGGGGATTGGGGTTCCGAGGGATGTTGGGAGGATGGAGTCGATCCAGACCAAACTTTTGGTATAATTTTGTACAAAAAGTATTTGCAGTCTGACTCGAACCAATTTTCTAGAACTTGGTGGTTCCGAAGATCTTAAATAACACTCCCTTGACAGAGAATTGCAATAGAAATATCAACTAACCATTTTCCAACAAGCCAAATTCATGGCCAATGAAAGAGTCTCGAGCTGCGAAAAGTAGCTTGACAACGAGAAAAAAACAGTGTCTATTCGCTCAACGAAATCTGAAATAGACACCTCAGCAAGCTGGAATGCATCCTTAATTTGCATATCAATTCTTCGGCCCAGTCCAAAATATTTAAATGACACAAGACCGGTAGCACAAACCTCAAGATCCTTCAGATGGGGGCATAAGGATATCTCCAACAACTTCAGCCGAAGTGAGGAACCACAAACTTTTCAATTCACTAAATGTTCCGAGCTTTCTACTTGTAAAGATTCAAGAATAGGACAATTGGAGAGCAAGTATTCAAGAATTTCTCCACTTATGTTCACACGCTTAAAACAGAGGGACCTTAGGGGCCTAATGCTGGATAAACCCGCAGGACTTTTGATGTAAATATAACTCTGGTTCGGAAAAGTATATGCTTCAGCCTGTTCGTAGTTGGGACATTGATTCAAGCCAAGCTCAAGCCTTTGAACTCGCTTTGCTATTGCAAACTCAATCCATCTATCAATGACACAACTAGAAGTGACATTGAAACAAAAAGAAACCCTAAACTCATCTATGGTTGAACCACGATGCGACTCCACCGCTTTGTTCACCCAACTTATGTACTTGGATCTTTCTACTCCCAGTACCTCCGGATTCAATTCAATCTCAAAAATGGTTTCTAAAGCATCAAAGTTTAGAATGTTGTATGACCACAAACGTTCCCATCTTTTCGAGAGTACACAAGTGCGGGCCGATTCTCTAGTTCCCATAAGAGACAGAATAGAAACATGCATTTGATCAGGCAGCCCACGGATACAATCCTTATAAATTGCAAAATAAGAAGAAAAAATAATTTCAGTAAATAAGATTGCTTCAGCACAACCGAAAAAAAAAAAATTACACTGATCAATTTTAATATAGGTACTATGACCAACAAAAACCAGAGCCAAACATATATTTACCTTGTGTTTTTTTGTGCATTTAGATATGGGCTTCATCGTGTTCCTCGTTGAACCTGACGTTACAGTCGTTTTTGCCCTTCCGCTAGTCATAATTTATAGCTAAATAAACTCTGCATAGAGGACACAAAAATCAATTGCAGATTAACTGATCATTAGTCACGAATCTAATAAGAAATCCTGAAATAACAGCTTATGCAAAAAAAAAAAAAAAAAAAAAAAAAAAAAAAAAGAGTCACCTCAAAGTGAAAGATCGGAGATTCGAAATACAAGCCCTTGTTTCTTAATGGAACGGAGAAACAAAGTTTTTTTTTTTTTTCTAACGGAGAAAGGAAGTTGTCAGACCGAATTTTAGTATTGCTTCCTCGTGGAGGAATCCTTGCTCTTGTCTATTGGCTCCTTAAGTTGCTACTTGCTTACATCAGTCCCATTGTCGTAATAGGGCGGGTCTTATGGGTCAATTTTTTTTAATAGTTAATCAATATAAATAATATTAATTAAGTCTAAGCAATAAAATATATAATAACAAATTACAAAATAAAATATATAATAACAAGTTAGAAGAATTTTAGGAAAACAAAATAAGACGTGGGCATCTATTGATTTTGGCTCGGATTGTTTAATTTAGGGTTTTGGAGTGGGTTCAGATTGAATTCAGTCCCAATCTGAATAAGCTTGGGTTTTGATAAAACTCAATCCAATTTGAACCCGATTTATAAATTTAAAAGTCTAAGTTTTAAAATTTTTGGGCTAGGCTAGCCCGCCCAAGTTACACCACTAGTTCCAATCAAGACAAAATGGCTAAGGAAATTCGTGCCTCTTAGTTTTGTGTTTGCTCTAAAAATTTTAAAATTTTGGATGGCTAGGTCGCTGGAATGGAGGAGCTTTGTTTGGAATTGCGGTTTTGATTTAAAGAGATACTAACATGACAATTCGCAAAGTGTTGTCAGTGCAAAAATTTTGATATGAATTTCTTTTGTTCTTTAAATTCATCAATTGAAGCGCAGACCTTACTTCCCGTTGTCTCAGGGAGCAGGGTTTCGAGCTTTTGCACCCACTAATTTCAATAGAATATATATATATATATATATTAATCAATTGAAAATTTTATCATTCGTTAATATTAGTAAAATCATAGTAGGAAAATGAAAAGAAAAAAAAAATATGAGTAAAAAGTTATATACACTCCGTATCTTTTATCAAAAAATATTTTCATTTTTCAGGTAAAAATATATTTTTTATTTTTTAGTTTTCGGTGTTTGGCAAATATTTAGCTAGAGGTTAAATCTATTGAGTGGTATATGTAAAATAATTTGTCGAAAATGAATGGGTAAATTATTTTTTTTTTGTTAAGTTTTAATATTTTTTTTGATTGTAAAATCAATATATATATATATATATATAATAAAATAAAAACATTTTACTAGAAAAGTTAAGTTTTTATCAAACAACAGCTAATTCTCAGGGGACAAGAACCAAGCTCCAATATCATGGAGCCAAGTGTTAATGTGATGAGAATATCAAACTCATACTCTTAAGAAATTTCCAGCATAAACCCAGAGTATTCAGTATCACCAAAATAGTTACTGGCATGAAACAATCTCGTGGCCAAAAAAATTGCAAATAAAAAAATTAAATTATTTTCGAAGTAGGAACAATCTAAAAATCAGCCCAAAATAAATAAATAAATAAGAGCTGCCAAATACAGAAATAATTTCCATTTTGACTCTGGTAGGCTCTTTTGCATATTGTTTTTCTTTGATTTCCTTATATATCATGATGACCTTCCCATTAACTTTTAGTCATAACAGAGTGTTGACCTATAAAGTTTCGATGTGCACAATTTTGTGTTCGTTACCCAACAAAGAAAGTACGAACCACCCAACCAATGCAACGAGGCGTTGCGAGTTTGCGAGACCAAAATTTGGGTGAAGGAGAATGCAAGGGATGCTGAGAGCTTTTGATTTTTCATTCTTGCAAAAAATCTACAATGTTATATTAATTTATTTTTTACTTTTTTTTTTATATATATTAATTTCTCGTATTCTAGAAACTAGATATTTGTACACATATTTTCACAAATTATTTCTAAAATAGATATAAAATAGTTTAAATCAAATTGGAGGACGGCATTTAAACTGCTTTGCCTTTTATACTAACAGATTTGGAGGGTTAGAAATGATTAAAATCTTAGTAAAAAGTGGTGGTACTGAAATAGGAAGGTTGCTGCTTATCAATATCATTTTTAACCGTTAAAACAGGAAAAATTATTAATCGTCTATGATCATGCATGTGATCCCGACCAATTAAAAAATGTCGGCTTTGGTCTGGGAAGGATAGTGTGAACTATGAACTATGTTTACGAAGATTTTTTTTTTTTTTTTTTGAGTGCTTTGAAAACAGGTAAGAAAAAAAATGTTCATTTAATGTGATAATTACTTAAATATTTAGATACACTCCTAAACACCCAGTTCACTGGTAAGATCTATTTCGCCTAGTAATTGCAAATTGAAATTTTAATGGTGGATAGTTCTATGAAGTAGCAGAACAATTTGCTAGCTTGGTTTCAATGAACTACTTAGATTTTTCAGTCTTACAAAATATCTATATCCTAGATTTTTGTGTAAAAATATCATTTGTCTAAAAATATATATATATTTTGATATTTGACTAAAAAAAAAATGTCTGTGAAGTTTCTTCTAGACATTTATAGAATAGTGTGAATCAATTCTTAGAAAATTTGTTTTAGGAAGACTCGAAAGGATTTCTAAATAAGTGAATCAATTCTTAACAAATTGGTATATATGAAAAGAAAAATAAGAATATTAACCGTTTTCCGAAAGAATCTTTGCCCATCAAACCTCTCTCACTCCATCAGAAACAATTATTCAACAATGAAATTATGTTGCACTCGGAAAAATCCACGCTTTGGAAGCGACATGAATTGTTCGATCGATCGAACCTTGGACTTGGATGAGATCCATCGAACTGAAGTTTTACATTAGTTTTTCTACACTTCCAATTCCAAAACATTATATTTTGGAATTGGAGTAAGTTTCACTAATATGTCACACCACAAAATTAAGATTTTTTCCTCTTCCAAAGTAATGAGTATGTAAAATCTTCTTTTCTTGTTTTGGTATACATTAGCCATACCTTGAAAACTCGAACGGAGTAAGAGGGCACTCCCAGGATAGAAGTCCAAAAACCCTCCGAGAAGCACCGAGCGTTCCAAATATGCATTTCGATGTTGTAACCATAGCATTCTATTTAAGCTCAAACTACTTTGATGTAAAATGTGCTTTTTTCTTGTTGCCCCTTTTTCTCAAACTACTAGATTCTGCGCCTTCCTCCTCTTGGACCTTTTGCTCTGCCTCTAAAATAGCCAACTGCAATGAGCACAAGAAAACAAAGAACGTCCCGTGTAAATATCAATACTTCTAGATTTCTAAATCAGCAGCAGAACATAACTTAATTCTAAGACTTTAGGCAAGTGTCACCTCATCAAGGATTGGTTTAAGCTCCTTGTATCGAGCTTCTGCAAGATCAAAACCATCCTTTCGAAGCTCCTGTGTTGCCAAGATGACAATACCATAAAAAGGTGATACACTGATAAGTATTCAAATCAATCCATATCTAAACTTGCACGCATGAGAGAGAGAGAGACTATTAAATAAAAGCATTATGTGCAAGGAGATGCCTTCCTCTTCTTGGCAAGATACTATGCCTCCTTAGTTATGGAACTATTTCTTCATTTTTGCCTTCTGTTACTATTTAATTTTTTGTGCTTCTTCATCCTTAGCTCGGCTAAATAGGCTCGATGATCTCTTTCTTTGATATGCCAATCCGGCACTCCACGTGGTTATATCTGAAGATTCCTAGACTTGACAAATCACTCCGCTTATTGAATGTAATGAACCAAGTGTGTACGTTGGTGGTAAGGAAGCACTAGAATACTGATGAAAAAAAAAAAGGAGGAATGAGAATAGGGAAAACTGGAAAGAAGAAAAAGAAAAAAACAAGGAAACGTCTAACAAATGCTTATGCAAGTTAGACAGAAAAAAAATCTACTTTACTTAAGCTAGAGCTATGTATACCACCAATCCAAAGAATTTTATCAAAACAGAAACCTAACGGGCAGTCTAGATTTACCAGTTGTCGACAAAGCAATCAATCATGACCTACTCTACAGAAATTAGACCTATATGCAACTCCATGCAACTGAATTTAATTTTTTTTCCTCTTTTGCCCCATTGCTTTCTCCAATCAAGATCTTATGTCTAGAAAGGTCATTAGCTCAAGCACTTTAAACCAAAATTATGATGCAGCAATTTCTAATAGTTCTCCCAAAATCTAATTCAATCACACACTAACAAGAATTGGAAAAAGAAAAACCACAAAATAAAGTTTGGCGATGCTTCTGCCACTTTGTCTAAAAGAGATGAAATCAGGACTCAGACAAAATTTCATCAGCGTACTAGATGAGATAAAAATGCAGCATGAGGAACTTGTCGGAAAAAAAAAAATGCAGCATGAGGTGCGGAAGCAGAGCCCGGCATGATGCATCAAACAGGACTCACAGGAGTTCAACTAACTTCTTTGCTCACATTTGACATTGAACCTAAATGTAATGAGAAGTGTGGGTAGGACCCGCTTATAAAAACAAAAGGTTCAGCTACAAATGTTCTGGATATACTCAATCTAACCTGATTGTTAATAAACCAGATTCGAGTTTACCTTCTGCACCTAACCAACTGGAACAAATTAGATTAGGATTCTCAACATTGTACGTATAATTCCTTTGGAGCTAGGATTTGAGACTTTGTCATTGCATATTAACCCTGCTTTTAGTTTTTTCATAGATTCTTCAAGTGCCCACTTAACAAGATCAAGTTAGAAGCTAAATACATTGACAACCGAAAAGGTCATGTTCAAGTTGATGCTTTCCCACTCGAACTAAAATAGATCAGCTCACAAACAGGAAAAAGAAAGATGGAACCTATGAAGCACGGACACGGACACGAGACACGGGTACGACACGACACGGATATGGCAATACGGCAAATCTCAAAAAAATAGGACACGGACACGGTAAGGATACGGCAATAAAATAATAATATAATTTATTTTTATATAAATTAAATTAAATTTTGTTCAATTTGTTTTATCTATATTATTAAATATGATATTTAAGTCCTACTATTTTTATTAAAAATAAAATAAAGATGCACAAGCCCAAATGAATAAGAATGTCTTTCTATTCTGAAATAATCCAAAGCAATTCTTGTAACCAAACAACCACTAAAAGGGATAAGATTTGTATATGACACTTCTATCTCTTTCCATATTTCTCTCTCTTTCATTGACACGTCTGTTCATTCTGAAAGGTCTTCTTCACCGGCTCTTCCCCGAACTTTTCCTCACCAAGACCTCACTGAAGCACAGGCCCTGAATCGACTCATCGGATGAAATCAAGGCAAATAACTCCAAACGATCTGAGCCAAGATTTCATTCTGTGTATGTATATATGGTTGTATTGTATCATTTTACAATTTATACAATGACTTGTATGTTAACTCTGATCTCTCTCCATATTCTTTTTCTTGTGTGTATTATATGTATATACTGCATATATACTCTATATACATCATCTCGTACTCTATGTTATGAAAAAAAAAAAAAAAAAAAAAAACTCTGATCAACAGACCGCCGTGTCTTCAGCCGTGTCCCCACGTGTCCACAGCCGTGTCCGTTGCAATTTTTAATAATAATAAATTGCGATCACGGATTTAAGGTGTCGGACACGTGTTCGAGCCTCGGATACGCGTGTCCGTGTCCGACACCGGTACCTCAAGCTAAACACACGTGTCAGTGCTTCTTAGGATGGAACAAATTCAGTAAACAAAATAACTAAATGCTAGAGAAAATTTTATTCAATTATCATTATGAAAGAAAAGCAGACCTTCCCAGTATGCTGAGTGTGTTCATGTGCTGCCATTTGCCAGTACAGATTTGTACGTTTGTAAAAGTCCTTCAAGGATTCTCCAGGCTTTAAGAAACAATACATGAAAAGGCAATCAATTCAGAGACTGATAAGAAAAAAAAAAAAAAAAAAAAAAAAAAAAAAAAAAAAAAAAAAAATTATAAAATAAAAACACCTAAAGCAACATTCAGGTGCAAAATTCAAACAATGCAAACTACCGTCAGCAAGTGCAAGCAAATTTCAATTCCTCGTGCAAGATCAGAGACCTTATGATGTAAAGATATTTACATACGATTCATGAAATGGCAATTAATATTTTTCTAATCCAGATCATATCTACAAAAAATAAAAGGAGTACCATAGGCGTTCTCTGAGAATCAGAAAGGCCAAGACTCGCTCTGATCTGCTCTATCCTGGCCCGTTTCTCCTTCCTTCGGAGATTTTTTCCCTCACCTTTAATTATAGCAACAGCATCCCCTGTTTCAAGTAATCCAGCACCACCATTCCTAGTCTTCAAACAAACACAAATAGAAAACTGAATTAATCAAAGTGATATGATTTCATATTTTTTATTTCATATCAAAGAACCTGTTCCTTGCCTGAACATTTTTAATTAAGTTCATGCCTGAACATCTCTCTCTCACTCTCTCTCAAGCACAACCACTTTTTATATATATTTGTAATTAATCATCAACAAGTATCAATTCCAGTTGTGTGTCCCCACACCATGTTAGATTGCCACTGACAAAGATCTTCAATACCAATAGGTGATGCAGAAAGAGTAACTTGCCATCTTTTAGTACATACACCTGCAGGTTTCTAATTGTTTGGAAATGTTTTGTTGAGTTGAGCCAAGTTGAGTATTTGCATGTTTCTAATTCATGTTGGACAAAGAAAAGAAAGAAGTCGAGAGAAAAGACAAGGAAAATATTCTAGAACTCAAATGGGGAGAAAAGAGCAGGAATTCCAATGTCAAAGATGTTAAGAAAGAGGTGTGCTATGTCAAAGGTAAATATAAACGTTGATCGTGTGTGTGTATGTGTGTGTGTGTGTGTGTGTGTGAGAGAGAGAGAGAGAAAGAGAGAGAGTATCTGGTTGAAGACATGGATTCTCTCTGAACCATGAAAGTAAGAGAGGCACCTCTACATCGTCGTCATCATCATTACTCTCATCACTGTCACCTCCACTATTGCATTCTTCATCTTCGCTATCATCTTCATCCTCATCCTCATCCTCATCTTCATCCTCTGATGCTTCTATCCATTCAGATTCGGAAGCCTGTGTTCATAAAAATAAAGCAGCCAAAATTCAAATATATGCAAGTGCCTAAGAGAGGATTACTTTTGCAATATTTTTCACTGTTGGATAATATCAAACAATTAAAAAGATTTAAATTACAAAATTAGCAGTCAGTGGACAGCAGAGACATAATTTGAATGCCGTAATTTTTATTTTTATTTAAAAAAAAATGGAATTTCATTATTTCAATAATATTTCAGTTTTAGTTGACCTTTACTTGAGATATACAATCAATATTGCCTCACAAGGTCTAGCTACCAAATAAAATTGTTACAAAAAAACATAATTAACATGTTAAAGACAAGAATTGCTTGACAATTAACTTTCAATTTCCAGTTGATGCAAGATGAAACAATTAAGAAAGAAAATACGCAAACAACTAGAATAATATTCCTTACAAGTTATATCAAATAAAGAGAGTGTTAAGGATCACTTTGCTTATATATAAATTTCACTCGGCACCTTGTCATTTCTGCAACCCAATATATCTATTAATGGTCTCCTGGAGTCATGAACTAGAGGTACGAGCTCATTAAGAAAGAGAATATTGTGAGCTTCATTTGACCTCATTCCTGGAAGACCATACAAAGGGTTTAGTTTAACACCTCTTCCAGCTTTAAGCATGATGCCCCACATAGTATAACTTTGGCTATCAAGTAAACCATCCATAAACTGCTAAATTACCTACTCTAGTTTTGGGGTGAAATGAGAAACAGGTCTAGCAACTTCTATTGAATAAAAAAGGAAATGCTCCCAGTGCATGCACCAGTATGATGCAGGTTAAGTTGATGAAATATTCTATGTTAGATGAGACTGCAGCTGTCTACAGACCCCAAGCTGAGCTCAGCACATCTTCTCACAACAACAAAAAAAGAACAACAAACAAACAAAGGAGTCAGCTACATGAATCCTATTTATTTCATTTAGCAAAACCAGTAGTGCACACATGTCTCTTGGCAATTGTATAAAGAAGACAGAACTACGTGGAGATAATGACATGTATACCATGTCATGTCTTCATTACGATTTTAGAAAGCAGTGGTCTCCCCAGCCAACAGAATCGAGTGCAGTAACTTATCATATAAGAAACAAGAAAGGGATATTAAGGCTGTTCGAAAACCTAAGGTTTTGTCTATATGCACCCGAAATGCCATTGCACTAGACTGAGCAAAGAACCTCTTAAAATTGGCATGCAGTTGCCATGCGAGAAATGTATTAAACTGTATAATCCATGTGGTCATGATGCACCCTTTGCGGCATCTCGTAATCCGAAAGAATATGTTTACACCGTTTTATAATCTACAGTCATGACAGGCCCTCCATGGTATGTTGTGGTGCACATACCAAAATTTGATCCTCGCTCATGGTGATAGCAGAGCACTATGCTGTGGTTATCCATTAGGATGCTTGAGTTTTTCAGGCTTGATGGCCTAATTCAAGGGTGGTAATGTCAGGTGGGAGACCAACCTAATATGTTCAGTGCTGCAAGTTGCATCTTGGACAGTCTATGAGAGTGAGTACCACATGCAAATGGCACTCCAAGCAGAGTCTGTTTCTTACTGCCTTGTCATTCTTTCTAAAGGGGGATTGCCTCAACTCTCAACCCGCCATGACCTCTCACTTTACCTTGTTCGTCCAGACAAACCCCCAAGCTCAGTCTCTAATCGTTTGAAAAATAAAAAATGAGGCCATGTTTGGGAGCATCAAATTAGTCGCTTGGAAATGGAATTGGCAAAAATTTAGTTCAAAGTTTGAACTAATTTTTCTCCAATCCCAATTCAAGGCGCCAGTTCAGCTTCCAAAAGCACCATGAACATAATTTTAAATTTGGAATTTCCTAACTTCCCTAGGATCATAAAGAAAAGGACAAGTATACAACAAAAATAGTGCACAGCACATGTTATGTTGAACTGCTTTAAAGTATATAAGAATCCATGTGTTTTGAATTTAGAAGTTTCAAATATGAACAAGTGATAATCAGAGTCAATTACACCCTATTTCGTTGTGTTTTTATGCCTCTCTATATATAAATATATATAGAATGACTCTCTGTAATAAAATTAGTTAAAGTTTCAAAAGAACAGCAGCAATAGGTTAGGGATCAACATCTTAGTATACAAGACATGAAGTGAAGCGAATCAATCAGAACTCTCTCTACCGAACCAAATAGTAACTAGAAAGCTATGAGCATTGTGTAGGAAAAAAATTGACAAACCGGTATGATGCACTTCCATTCGTCAAGTTTGCTGAGATTAAGCATATACAAATCATCAAGAGTGATTTCTTGATCTTTAACTTCCATCATGCCACCATAGATATATAATGTATCCCTTCCCACGACCATGCAGGAATTGATACGTCCGCAAGGCTTCACTACCTGGATGTTACACAAGTCAAAAATTAATAATTGGGAGATGCACAATATAAGCAGCACAACTTAATCATTTCTATCCAATATAACAAACCTCTGGCAAATCTGAGTTTTGCATAGCCAACCTCGAACTAGATTCATGAGCCTTTCCATCAGCTCTGTCAGTCAACCCAGCATCCTCAACAGCCATGCTCCTTTCCATATGAAGAGAGATTTCATCAGTGTCACTATCCATGTCAACTGCTTCATCGTGGTACTCCAAATTCTCATCTCCATCCCTTGCTGCACACTTTTCTGGTTCAATTGGACTCATTTTATTGTCATGAGCAGCACTATTGTGCTCTTCATTAAAAGTCTTCTTTACCTGTAAAACCAGACAAACAAGCAACCATATGGTACTAAAACTATAGCATATTTACAAAATGAGTTGCAAATACTCCATTCATAAAAACTTGAAAGAACTATGAATAAAAAAACCTCAATTTCAAATAAACAGGAAAGCATCAAATAAGATAGCAGCAGCAGTAATAGTGAAAGTTAGAACCAGTATCAATACCAACAATGAGGACAGCAGCAGCAGCGGTATCAATAATAATAGACACCAAAAATTACACATGCTACAAATTTTTTTTATAGAATACCTTGTCTTTCCTTGCCTTTGCCTTCCGTAGCTCCAATGGATACCTACATGCAAAACAAGAATGATAATTTCAAAGAGGGACACAAACTACAAAGTCACACCTTAAGAAAACATTGCCCATACACAATCAAGCCTCATTCTTCATATTGTGAAATATTAGAAGATGATATGTATAGTATGGAAAACATTTGTGTGTGTGTGTGTGTTTTTCAAGTAAAACCTTGTACTGCTGTAAGATACATACTGTTTACTGTCCTAATTTTGATCCCATGATGAAATACGCATGCCAAATAATGAATCGCAAATGTTAAGGGAATGAAGTAAATTAAGTCAAACTCAATAAAAAATTATATGAGGCTGCACTTACCAGCGATGGGTGTCTAACTGGAAGCCATAAAGTTCATTCAAGAACAAGCTCATTATTACATCACCTGCACAAGAAAATAAATCCAAAGAAGAGGAAGTTAAAAAATTGGAGATTATCTGTGTAGAGTACATGATATTAATGTAAAGAACAAGTAAACACGGTTAAACTAAACAAGCAAGAAATAGCTCAAACTCAACTACACAATACAAAAACCAGCTTCAACTTGTTGACGTATGTAATAGCATACATTATACCACGAGAGAACATGTTTTCCCTCACAACCTTGACCCACGTCTATTCTTGTCTTTCACTCGTCCTTTCAGGCTTTTTATGTACATGGTCAAACAACCTTAACCAAATATTTTTTAAATTGTACCCTGTTGACGCTACCCTTTCTGGTAACATATTTTAAATTCTAATCCCCTTCCTCCCCCGCCTCTTGCACTTTTCATTCCTCTTTTTTTTTTTTTTAACGTAAGATTCTTATAGTTTTCCCTCATCCACTGCAAATACGCTCATTATATGAGCACATTGTTTCATGAATGTGCAACATTATAGACCAGAAGACTAGCCCCAGTGTTTTAGTCATAACTGATGATATGGAACAGCTTATGAGCTTGATTGCTTTAAATTCCTTAGATAAGGCATTTGTCTTAAAAGAAGTTTCTATTCAATTGAGTAAAGCTACAAAAACAAATCTTCTTTTTCATCCATCCTTTCAACCCTTAATATTATCATAGCGTCATCCTCACATTCACTCATTAATAATCAAACCAATATAAAAAAATAAAATTAAAAATTCTGTGGGGTCTCATCTGCCATCATCTTGAATACTCCTTGCAACAATCATATCTTTACTAAAATTATAGCCCTGGATTTTAACTAGAAAGAAAGAACAAAGCAAATAAGGAGCCTGCTTGTACAAATTTTTGGCTCAAGTATAATGTGTTGGGACAAAAATTTAGATGCTGAACAATCTCATCTCATTATTGAGAAGACCAGTTTTACGTCATTTATAAATTAAAAAGCTGGCAAGAATAACTAACTGTCCGCACACAGTACAATCAATTTTAGTACTGTGATATCACCTTAACAACAAGAAAGGAGGAGAATGACACAGTTTTGAACCAAATACATGCAACTACATCTGCAACTTGTGGTGTTGTGTTCCATATTTCACAGAAATTTAAGGTAAAATAACTGTATTATTATGCTGCAAGTGTGGAAGCTGGTTAATCCTAGGGCTAGATAGCAAAAGTACTTAAATAATCTAGTTAATAATGTTAATTTGCCAGTATAACCGGCCAACATTTTATCTTTGACTCGAGCTGCAACATGATAGATTAAATTATGTGCTATAGTTATTTTTTTATTTTTTTATTTTTTTTTCTCTTATAAGTAAAATTGTATTAGAAAGCAGTCAAAAGGGGAACGCGTCCCAAGAGCTGTACAAGAACCAAGAACACAAAAAGAAAAGGGAAAACCTATGGACCCAAAGACCCCAAAAAGTCCATGATCTCCTCAACAGAAGAACAATCTCTCCCCATACCCCAACTAAAAAGAGAACAAATAATAGAGTACTTTAAAGCCCCAATGGGTAACTCCTCCCCAACAAAGGATCTTTTATTTTGTTCTTTCTAGAGGCACCACCAAATGCAAAGAGGAGTCGCCCTCCAGAAATTGCGAACACGAGCCCCCACCCTTTGCCCCCTCCAAATATCAATAAGACCCCGTGAGGTCCGAGGCATAACCCATTGAACGCCAAAAAGACCCAACATAAGGCTCCAACAGTCATGAGCCACTGGGCAGTGTAAGAGAAGGTGGTCCACAGACTCTCCATCGGTCATACACAGAAAGCACCGATTAACAATGACATGTCTTCTCTTCCTCAAGTTGTCCAGAGTAAGGATATTACCCCAAGCAGCAGTCCAAGCAAAGAAAGCCACTCTAAGAGGAGCCTTCGAATGCCAAACCGTTTTTCACGGGTAGGAGGAGGCCTGAAAACCAGAAAGGCAGAAGAAGAAGGACCGGATCTGAAAAGTCCCTTGCGAAGAAGGCACCCAAGTCAAGAGGTCCGCCCCAGAGCCATCCACCTCCTATCGATACAAAAGATCCAATAAGCCAGTGACATCATCCAACTCCCAATCCTGAAAGGCTCGCCGGAACTGAACATCCCAAGACAACTTACCGCTATCAAGGCGATATCAATCGGCAACCAAAGCATGACTATCCACAGCAATCCTAAACAACCTTGGAAACCGACGACACAATGGATGTTCCTCGCACCAAGGATCCTCCCAAGACCGGACATCCCGACCTTCCCGAACTCTGAATCTAATGTGCTTAGAAAACTCATCCCATCCCTTTCCAATGAAATACCACACGCCCACGCCGATAGCAGATCTAGCCGGTCTAGCAGACCAACCCCCTCTCTCCTTCCCAATGTGTTATAGTATTGACTTGCAATGTCATGTGGGACACTACGATTCTATGGGTGACAATTGTCATTCAACATGAAGGGCTAACATGTTATACATACTTCACTGGCTCGTTCAAAGAAATACTTAACCGATCACCTCTATTTAATGGTGCAATACATGGATAAAATGTTCATGGCACATTTTTAGTTGGACCCAAGTTCAACAAGAGATACCTCTGTGAATATATGAATGAAGCCTTTTGGAAGTTTTGGAAGTTGTTGGCATATATTGAATTATTTCTTTGTTTATTCTTTGATAGTCAATGGTATGCTAATGCCCAAAGGAAGGTGTAATGTTATTCACCCGATAAAGATCAGATATACATTTAGTTGGAGTTAACAAATGTGCCCAAAAGCAGATGTAATTTTGCTACAGAATTTAAAATGAATATACTAAGGATAAAGCACCTCACATTTGCGATGTTTGCAGATGACACGTTAGTTCTGTGTGATGCGAATGTGTCCCAACTTCACTATTTGCGGTGTGTTCTGATTTGGTTTCAAGTTGTGTCCGGCCTCAAAGTGAATGTTGGCAAGAGCGTTCTGGTGCCGGTGGGGGAGGTTCCAAAGATTGAGACTTTTGTTGATATTCTGGGTTGTCGTACTAGTTCTTTTCCCATCTCTTACTTAGGGTTGCCTCTGGGAGCTCCTTCGAGGTGTGTGGGAGTTTGGGATCCAGTGGTGGATAGATTTGAGAGGAGGTTGACTGGTTGGAAGAAGCAGTACCTTTCCAAAGGAGGTTGGGTCACTCTGATTAAGAACACTCTTTCATGTCTTCCCACTTACTTTATCTCCCTTTTTCAGATTCCCTCTTCGGTGGCAGAGAGGATTGAGAAATTACAGCGTAATTTTCTGTAGGGGGGCAAAGGGGAAGAGTTTAAGTTCCATTTGGTTCGATGGGAGAATGTTTGCAAACCTATTCGGAATGGAGGTTTGGGCCACAGAAGATTGGTGCCTTCTAATAAGGCTCTTCTTGGGAAATGGATGTGGAGGTTTGGAGTGGAGAGACACTGGCTTTGGAGGAGTGTTGTGGCGAGTCAGTTTGGGGAGAGTAGAGGAGGGTGGTGTTCCCTTGAGGTGCGTGGGCCTAGAGGTGTGGGGGTTTGGAAGGTCATTCGGAAGGGGTGGGATGATTTTGTTAAGCATATCCGCTTTTGTCTCTGGGACGGCAAAAGGATTAGTTTTTAGGAGGATGTTTGGTGTGGTGATGTTCCTCTTGCTCTCGCTTTTCCTCAGCCTTTTAGGATTGCTATGGATAGTCAACTGTTATCATCTTGATAATGGGAGACTGGTGTGGGATGTTCGATTCAAGCGATTGCTACAGGACTGGGAAATTGTGGAGACTATTCGTTTTTTGGAGTTGTTGTATCGTTAGAGGAATGTGGCTAAGGATTCTGATTGTTGGACTTGGGCTGATAACTCTCAGGGGTGTTTCGAGGTTAGGTCCTTCTTCAAGTGTCTAACAGATGGCCCTAGGGAGTTCTTTCCTTGGAAGTCTATTTGGCGCTCAAAGGCTCCTCTTAAGGTGGCCTTTTTTGCGTGATCCTCTGTTCTGGGAAAGATTTTAACCCAGGATAATTTAAAGAGGAGAAATCAGGTGGTGGTTAATCGTTGCTATATGTGCCTTCGCGATGAGGAAACAGTGGATCTTCTTCTCTTACACTGCACCGTTGCTAGAGCCTGCTGGGATTTGATGTGTGGCTTGTTTGGGTTTCCTTGGGTTATGCCTTGTTCTGTGAGAGGGCTGATTGAGGCATGGAGTGGTTGCTTTGTGGGAGCCCTCATTCGGGATGCTTGGAGGGCTACACCTCAGTGTGTGTGGTGGTGTTTGTGGCTTGAGCGGAATAGGAGATATTTTGAAAGGCAGGAGATGTCGATTTCTAGGCTTAAATTCTCTATTCTCTCCACTCTTTTTGGTTGGGTTTTAGGGAGAGATTATTGCTCTTTAGAGGAGATTGTTGATTTTTTGGCCTCTTTGAAGGCTTAGGTCCTTTGTGGCCCTTTGTACTTTCTTGGATTTCGCTCCCCTTTCGAGCACTTTTTTATAGAATTTTACTTATCAAAAAAAAAAAAAATTATTCCTTGAATTGTCACGGTTTCATTAAAACTTGTTCTATGTTTAGCTAAGGAAAGCCCCAGTTTGAAGGACAAACCTGGCAAAATTTGACACGATAAGAATAGAAACCAATACGAAACTAGTGAGTTTGAGTTAACCTTAATCATGTTCATGGCATAATTGGGTCAACCTGATTAACCCGCCTAATTAATCGTGTCGGGTTTAGGCTTGAGTGCTCAACTTGTTTAACCTGATTTGACATATTTAATTAATTGTCATAATCAAGTGGGGCCCACCCAAATCAACCTACAACTTATTTCAACCTTAGAATAGGTAATAAGTTCAAATTTGTATGTATTATAGTGAAACAATTGGTTAATTGTGCATTTTTAATTAAGATAAAATGAAAACTTTCGTCATTCAATATATATATATATATATATATATATATATATATATATATATATAATTTATATTTGCATTTCATATTTAGGAAAAAATAGTAAAAAGATTGTTAAACTAGTCTTGTCATGTTACAGATTCTACAACCTATTTATTGAGCTGGTTAAGACACGGCCAGGGAAGAAAAAAAAAACTGGTTAAGACACAAATACGACTCGTTAACACGAATTGCCACCCCTATATTTGAGTCGCATTTAGCAACAAGAAAGATAAAATATAACTTCAAGTTCATTTAGGGCATAACCAACTATACAAATTTTATCCTATTATAAAGTTATACTAATGTAGAAAAGAGGAGAGAAAAATGAGAGAAGATAAGAGCAAGAGGAGGATAGAGAAGAGAAAACAAAAAGGGGAGGAGAAGAAATTAGTGAGAGCAGTTTCTATCCAATGATAATCACAAACAAGCATAAAGAAGTATTAATCCCACTGTGTCAAACAATACACACAGGAAAACCCTAAGCTACTAAATCTTGCGGTAGTGCTCTAACAGACAAAGATCAATATAGTGAAACTCATCCTCGGTGATTCACGTATCATTTGAATTTGGACGATCTCTTTAATAGACAAGATATTACTAATAACCACCTCAATTAGAAGCAATTATCTGATGATCAACATCCTCAATCAGATTCATAGCAATTATCTGATAATCAACATCCTCAATCAGATTCATACTTCCCCGCTAAAATGGTGAAAATATACACAATTGTGCTGATGAAGATGCAATTTAACAGTAGGTACACATGTTGGCAAAGTAGGAGGATAAAAGGTACATCAGCAAGGAGACAAATCCTCCACAATGGAAGACAGACCAATACTTTTATGATGGAGAGACAAGGATATATTCATTAGTTCCTAACTTACCAATGATACAGAAAGGTCCAATTGTCAAGGCAAGCAAATTCTTGATGAAGTTAGTAGGATAATAGTCTAGGCATATACAAATCAGTATCCTTCATTTAATTATTGATTCTTATGGGAGCACCGGCAGTAACTTCATTGTTTTTGTTACTTGGAACATTTTTTTGTCTTATACCAGCATGAGTACCATGAATGTTTTAGGCAGTTGAAATGCTCAATGGTAGAACCACTCCAATGTGACCTAGAGATTGAAAACTTTCTTACCCTTGGAAGCAGTGGTTACTCACCAATGATAGAGAAAGGTCCAACTGCTTCGGCATGCAAATTCTTGATGGAGTTATTATCAGCATGGATATTACAAAATTGTAAGGCAGTTGAAATGCTCAATCACTCAATGGTAGAACCACTCTGGCGTGAGCTAGAGATTGAAACTTCCTTACCCTAGGAAGTATTGGTCATTTGGGCAGGATCATTGCTTTCCATGGAGGCTTGAACAGGACTATCCGACTGCTTTAGTCCTCTCAAAAGAAATTGTCCTCTGCATTAAGGTCATTTGACAAGCGTTAGAAAGCCTTTGGAATTTCTCAATCTCTAAAGCCATGTATTGAGCTTCCTCTATTGTACTAGGGGAATACAAGTTGGCCTCTATAACGGATAGGGTTAGAATTTCTAGAATACAAGTGTGTGTGTGTGTATATCTATAGAGAGAAAGAGAACTACAATTGGGCATAGTTGTTTTATGGCGATGTCGGGTTACTGGATATGGTGGATGGTGAGTATCTATTCATTGTCAAAGGGGTTGGTTTTGGGTCACAACTGTTTGGTTGTTTGGTCGTGAAGTAGACGGGTCCATTTATTTCAATTTTCGATCTGTTCAAGTTTGCTCTCTGTTTTAAGTTTTTGATGGCTTAGTATCTTCATGATGGTTGGCAAAAGGGGACTGAGAACTACTCTAATAGAACTAATACAGAAAAAGAGAGAGAGAGAGAGAGAGAGGTGAGAAAATAGAAGAGAAAAAAAAAAAAAAAAAAAAAAGGAGGAGAATGAAGAGAGACGAATAGGGTTAAAAAGGAAATTAGGGAGAGAAGTCTGGGATGATTTTTCCAAGCACATTCGGTTTCGTCTTAGAGATGGGAGGAGGATTTGCTTTTGGGAGGATGTGTGGTGTGGAGATGTTCCTCTTGCTCTCGCCTTTCCTCAGCTTTACAGGATTGCTTCGGATAGGCAGGCCATGGTAGTTAACTGTTATCATCTTGATAATGGGAGACTGGTTTGAGATGTTCGATTCAGGCGTTCCTTTCAGGATTGGGAGATCGAGGAGGCCATTCGTTTCTTGGAGTTGTTGTATCGCCAGAGGATTGTGGAGGAGGATTCGGATTGTTGGTCTTGGGTTGCAAACTCTCAGGGGCGTTTCGAGGTGAGGTCTTTCTTCAGGTGCCTCTCTTTAGTTCCTGGAGTTCGTTTTCCTTGGAAGTCTGTTTAGCGTTACAAGGCTCCTCTCAAGGTGGCTTTCTTTGTGTGGACTTCGGTTCTGGGTAGGATTTTAACCCAAGATAATTTGAGAAGGAGAAGCCAGGTGGTGGTCAATTGTTGTTTTATGTGTCTTAGTGATGAGGAATCGGTGGATCACCTTCTCATTCATTGCTCTTTGGCTAGAGAGTGTTGGGATTTGATGCTTGGCTTATTTGGTTTTTCTTGGGTTATGCCAGGATCTGCTAGAGGGTTGATTGAGGCGTGGAGAGGTTGCCCTGTGGGGGCTCTCAGTCAGGATGCATGGAGGGCTACGCCGCTTTGTGTGTCGTGGTGTATTTGGCTTGAAAGGAATAGGAGATTCTTTGAAGGAAAGGCGTTGTCGATTTCGGTGCTTAAATTCTCGATTATTTCCACTCTTTTTTGTTGGGTTTCAGGGAGAGATCATAGATCGTTGGAGGAAATTGTCGACTTTTTGGCCTCTTTGAAGGCTTGAGGCCTTTGTGGTCTTTTGTATTTTCTCTTGTATTTTCTTGGGTTCCGCTCCCCTTCTGAGCGTTTTTTATAAAACGTTTTATTTATCAAAAAAAATAAAAAAAAGTCTGTTTCAATAATCAATAATCTCATTCAACCTATGTGTCAAGCAAAAACGTAAAATAATGCCTATGTGGCAAACCATATTATGCAGACAACCCCCATTCAAAAAATATAGAAACCCTAAAAATTATCAAAACCCCGGAAAATAAGAAAACATAGCCTAAAATATGTCCCTAGAAAATTAGTGCCTACACCTACTCCTACATGACACATGGGACCCAATTCTCTAATATATCGGTCTACTATATTGTCAACGTTTGATTCCATTGTGACTAAAACAAGATTGCCATTACAGAAAGAATAGTTGTTTCTTTTCTTATTGTTGTTTAGGTAGTCGATATCTATAAAGCATACTTTCCATGGAGAAAGAGCTCTCAAGAAAAAGAAGACAACGAAAGCAGGCAAGAAGCATCACAATTCCCCAAGACCACCAGCTTTACACAAAAATTATTATCAATAAAACAAAAGAGAGCTGGGGAGGGAATCAAGCGAACAAAAATCTTGAATACGCAGGTGATCACAAGGAATTACTAGGCTTCAGTTTCTCCTGATTTCATATCCATAGACAAACAAATGGACAAAAACTGTGCAACTTATGTTTAAGATATATTAGAGAATAGCTTTGTATACATGCATCATGAGAATGGGACTCCATATGTCAAACACTTGCACGTAATCGGATTTTTGTTTCCCCGATAAGACACGTAAAAAAATTTACAGGATATCTCCACTATTCTACCTGCTACAAAATCTAAAACATTTTTAATACTAAATCTTCAAATCTACAGCAAGCTATACTCTAGATTGCCACTGCGTAGACTTCAAGAGGGATGGTGAGTAAACGAGATTTAAAAGCAGACCGAATGAAGCACATGTGCTTATGGAAAAGAAAACAGACCTTTAACTTCCATATCCACCACACCCCCAAATAGCAAAGTCCGTTTTTTATGGACACACATAGAAAATCCAGCTCGAGGACCAGGGGGCATCCCACCCTTCTTTACCTATAAAAAGGAAAATATAAAAACAAAACCAAAAAGCATTGACAAGGAAATAAAAAAAGAAGTATTATCAAAGAAAAGAGCAGCTATATGACATCACAAAGAAGTGGATGCTTAAAATAGGATATAAGTGTCCACTTTCAAAGAGAAATGAAGCACTATGAGAATTCACTGGTAGTCACCGTCTTCAATTAAATATGTATCAGAAAGCGTCAAACTAGGAAAACAACTTTTTAGTATGTAAAAATCTGTCACTCCACCTTCAAGATCCAATAGAATTTGACTTCCATAATGCCAAAAAAGAAAATAGAAAAAAAGTAATAAAAAAAGTTCCATTGAAAGTGATAAATAAAGTGTAATTGACACTCTTAAACAGCCAGCTGGGGGGGCGGGGGGGAAACTATATTGAGTTCTGAAAAAAATTGAGTGAAAAAGAAAAAGCTGTGAGAACTATGCAAATGAAGCCAGAGAAAAGGAGCTGTCTGCTTGCACAAATCACAAGAAAAATCAATCAAGCAGAAAATTAAACAATTTTTTCCTTTTAACATATCCCATTCCAAACACAAAGATAATAAATTGACGATTTATCAAAAAAGAAAAAGAAAACAAAGATAATAAATTGATGATTTCATTATAACTCTATTATAAAGAGGAAAAAAAAATGCTAGAAACTTGTACTTCTGTAGGATATACTTTCATATTAATGTCAGTGGCCTGTGTTTGTTCTCATTGTAAGAATATAAGACCAAAAATATCAATTGGAAAATTCCATGAGAAATTGTGAAAATGTTATTGTTTATTTCATAAAAAGATACTTCAACACTTGTAATCCCTAATTGATTGTGATTAAAATTTCTTAAAGAATACCACCATATTATTTTTCCCAGAATCACATATGACTACAAGAAAGGACTCCTTTAGCTGATCTGAAATAAATTGTTATAAGACCTATGAAGTGATATTCAACTAGTACAACAGAAACCATGCGATACGGACAAAACGGACAAAGCTTAGCATCACAAAGTCATGCCCTTTCCCTTAAATTATATCAGCAATTGCATCATTATTCAGCTCCCATTGAGGAGGGGAACAAAGAAAGGCACACCTTGTTCCATTCCCAAGTCCTAGGATCAAGGGACCACATGTCTGAATGGACAATTCCTTTCTCAGAGCCATTTTTGTCAGACGATATTTCTTTGGAATAGCCACCATACAAAAAGATCTGCAATATTCAAGGCAATTGGTAAATATAAGATTTTTTTTTTTTTCTTTTTTTAATCCTACGATAAAAAAGAAAAAGAAAAGGCAACACTGTGTATGAGAAGGAAATAAAATTCGAACTATGAAAAAGATATCTTTATAACATATCTTAATTGATATTAAGTGACCAAGTTATTAAGCTTCTATAAATCATACTAAAGAAAACTCAAAAAAGAAGCAAGTGTTTCAAATAACAAAGTTGTTAATAAATTAATCTCTCTTTTGGGGCTAAAAATATGAGCAGAACAAACAGGGCCAATTGCAAGGATCACATATGCCGATAAAACAGATAAATGAGATTAGTTACCAGTCTCAAAGCCAGATGAAATGGAAGTAGACAGGAACAACATACACTAATATAATTATAATCACACATTTAACACTCATCTCACAAAATCAGTAAATATTATAATTTAATTTTTACTCAAATCAACTAACAGATAAAGATTTAACAGATCCAATCATTTAGCAATGAGTCAACTTTGGTAAGTTTAAATGATATAATTTTGGAAACGGCAAAAAGTCTACATGTCCCAAGTTTATTACAAAGAGGCATAGATACATTAATTCACATACAGACTTCTGTATTTATGAAGAACTGTTTTTTTATAAGAAACGTGGGACATACAGATTTTTTCCCTTTGCAAAATTAAATCATTTAAACTTCAGATTCAGCATTATTGATCCATTTGCAGCTGATCTGTGAGATACATAAATTGGTCCTCTTTTATTCTGCAATTTAAGCTTTTTTTGACGACTTATCTCATTAAGTGTTGAGTCGACAGTCATTATATTCTGATAACAATTGAGAAATCTACGGAACGTAACCCAAAGCTGTGATGTGAGAGTACCACAAGGCTCAAAATAGAACTAGAGAGGTAATGAATAGATCTTGTCCAATATTAACTAACAATAGCTGCTTTTATACATTTTTACTTGTCAAAAAAAAAATTAACTAATAATAACTGATTTTCAAACTCTGAATTTTTATTTAAAAGTTAAAACGCAATAATATAACCAATTAAATATAGATAGTAGAAATAAACAAACCATGCAACCTCACACAAACACACAATTTTTACGTGAAAACTCCCGTTGGGGGGGGGGGGGGGGGGGGGGGGGGTGGGGGAACATAGGACCTAGTCCAGGCAAATCAAATCCACTCCGAGAAAGCAATTTACACTAGGTTAACAGTTCCCGCAGACTGATCCACAGAACTCTCCACTCAAGTCCACTTGTCAACAAAGCCGCTCCTCATGCAATCTGCTTCTCCAATCCATGATTTGATCTCCAATGACTAGTTGTCCAAGTTACGTGTTCATAGTGTGAAGACACTTCATGTGGAGTTCTCCATGTAGCACAAGGATTATTGTTTTCAACACTTTAAATAATACTCCCTCTGTCCCAAAATACATGTCTTACTTGGGGAATCCAATTTTTTATGGTAGTGGAGTTTTAATAGTTTTTTATTGTATTGATAAGAGTGAAGTTTCAAATATGCCCTTGCTAAAAGACAAAATAGTTCTCCATAATTAGTGCACTTGTTTATTTAAAAGGATAGTTTGGAAATGTTATAAAAAATAGTACATCCAATTTTGGAATGGGACCTGTTTTTTGGGACATCCCAAAATAGAAAGATGGACAAGTATTTTGGGACGGCGGGATAAACTCCCAATCTAATGTAAGATTGAGCTGATAAAAAATAAAATGTGCTTTCTAAAAATATATAATCCCTCTAAATGATCTCTCAATAATGCATGTAAGGATCTCTCACTATGTATATTTGTGTTATGAGAACCTAGATGTTTCTTGTATAATACTTCTGAATCCAAAGGAACTAGGGTTTTGATAAAGTAAAAAACCTAAACCTTCTAGGATTTTAATTTAGAGATGTTTCTAAAAACTATTCACGCACAGGTCGACAGATTGAGCTATCAATCGACAACTAACGTCTAGGGTTCGAATGATCAACATTTCAATCAAACATCATTGGACAATCTCGATCGATCGACGCTTCTCGGTTGATGCTCTCAGGATTTTAAACCTGCAGTTCAGACATCCATCAATCGAATGACCATTTGATCGGGCCATTCTATATTTGGGGGGGGGGGGGGGGGCGAAATATATTTAACCCAAAACATCTTTGTCATGAATTAAAACTTGTATTCATTGTGCTCTAAAATGAGTCATGATAGGAATGCATGATTAAGAACCTAATTGGTGAGTGAGTTATTCAAGAGGTGATTCTAACTTTTTTGCCCTTTGATGCTCTTCAAATTCTACCCCTGCCCTTGTACAGAAGTACCACCACTAACTAACTAAACTAACTTCTGAAAATCTAATCAAAAGCTAAAATAAAAACATGAACTCTGGCTTTTGTAACGAAAATTACCACTACAAAGTTCTAATCCTAAGATTTAGAATTAGTTAAGATAGTTACAACTTTCAAAAAAAAAAAAAAAACTTTAAGCATGGTATGATATGCCTTCCACTCTTTCCATCATGGCATTTCAAAATTTCACATGCCATAGTCATACTGCATATTAAGTTTAAAATAAAAATAAGAAAGAAAGACAGAAAGTGAGGAAAACAAAACTGGTTTAAGTTTATACCAACTCTCATGCATGTCTACGAGGACTTATTCACTATATCAGTGCACCATTACATTGCCAATAGTACCTAATGCCTCACAAATGGAACTTATATCTTATCAACTTAGCTTGCATCTTTCAGCATATCCACAACATTCAGTAAAATTCTTTCTTGTTGCTTCCATGTTTATCAGAACATCTCGTCAGTTATCTACTTTTTGAAGGACAGAAGTACATTTCTAGATCAAATCTACAAACTTTATAATGAATGTTGTGAAGATCATTCACCATTCAATTGCAAAAGTAAACTTTGTTCAATGGAGATAGTGTAAGCTTAAAAATAGGCACAAATAAGATCAAACAACATTTTGACACATCAATCAATCATTTTCAATACTAAGTGCATTTTTTTTTTTTTGGATAAGTCACTACTAAGTGCATTTACAACTCACTCACCTCATCTTGATGAACAAAAAGCTGGAAACCACTGCGAGCACTAGGCCACATGCATCCAGGCCTAGGTTTTATCTCTTGCCACTATAATACAAGGTTGCATTTAATATTAGTGAACAAATATAATCCTTGAAAACTAACAACTTCATGATGCACACAATAGGGGCCATTATGTTCACCTTAAACTGATCCAGGTCAAATACATGCAAATCATTAAAATACCTGCAAATCAAAACCTTCAGATGTCAGCAAGAAATTATATTGAAAAAACTAGTCCCATTTAGTATTTTCTGCAGGAAGTTTTAAAGGATTACATTCAAATGGCGGATGCAAAAACAAGACCATGTGGAGATCATAAACAATACCCTAGCTTAGCACAACAGGACCCATTAATTTTCATGCCCAATGAAAGTTTTGATAACATGTACAGTGGACAACTAAACTTTATCGGAACAACATGGCAAATTATTTGATACCATGATAAGTGAATGAACCACTTACAATGATTAATGTTGTGAACCCATCTTCGGATATTGAATTCTTGTTAAAGTACAGAAATTTTTTATTTGTAAGTGATCAAAATGGTAAAAATTTGAAATTCTCAAAAACTGGAGGAAAAAGTAAAAAATAAATGAGCTGGGCAATATAAATTGGCAAGCCTCCTCACATAGAATCGAGCAAGCAAACCTGTTAATTTTATCTGCGTTCTTCAACAATTATCAATCATAAATAATCTGTATAGCGTCTAAATACAAATGAATTTTATTAAATAAGTAATGAGATCTAAATTACAAGAAACAGAGACAATATGGAGAACTTGTCCATTCTCAATAGGCCTAAATTCTGAATTGAAGCTTATATACATATATTTTAATGCACTATCTTATATGTACCATTTACCAACTCCAAAGTTGACCTCCTCCTTAAACAAAGTTTTTTCTTAAAAAGAACGGCTTAATGTAAAATTTTAATAAAGAATGGCCCGGTGTATTTTGGAATTGAATTTTTTTATTCTTATAACGGAAAGAATAAACATTTACTGGATTTCTAAGTTGGCAACTGAAGAGACTGACTGACTATCTATAAAACAGGAAAGATAGCCGGAGAGAGTTTCATTGGGATCATTTGCGGCATTATTTTTTCACTTCCTACCAAGGGTTCCTTTTCTTCTCTCCGTTCTTTACTTGTTACTCATTTTTTTTCCTTTAAAATTCTCCATTTTGTACTGCTTCCATATTAGTGTATCATAATTTGTCTCATTTCCCATCACAAATAAAGGAAAAAGAAAACCATACTTAGTTAAGTATCATTATAAATGAAGTGAACAAGCTCTGTACACTGCAATTACTTGTGAGATATTTTCAACTGATATCAACAAGAAGAAACTTATTAAAAGGAAATAAACATAAGTATATATATATATATATATATATATATATATATATATATATATATATATATATATATATATATATATTTTTGATAAGTCAAAACTTGTTAAACATGATGATAATGGTAGAAATAACTCAATCATTATTCAGCAATTTGACTGTAATAACATCAATTCATGCATTCCATAGAATGTCAATAGACAGGACCATTATTTTTTCCTGCTTCTTAATTCTTGTTGATTATTGTTAAGAACTCCAAAAATTAATCCCCTCATCAATTAATCCTGCCAATCAAATCCATATTGGTAACTTACAGAGATTTTATCATGCTTAATCCTTAACTATTGTAAAGACAATATTGGCAAGTTCTTTAACTATTAAACCCTTCTCCTAGCATTGAGGTGAATGTGCAATTTTTTTTTCGAATCACCTGAATATGCTTGTTTAACTTCCAAGAGCAGGGAAAAAGTAAAAACTTAATGACAATTATTTAGAGAAGAAACATGTACAAAGTTAGAGGCTCTTCAAGGGTAAATAAATATTTATGCGAATATTCAAAAGAGCAGATATACAATGATGCAACACTACACTAGCTCAAACAAAATAACTGAATAAAATCACTATATTGGTTTAAAACAGAGCAAATATTCATGTACATATTAACAATCATGCAGGGACAAGAGTAACCAATTATGAATCCTTAAAAAAGCATCCATAAAGATCCAAATACCAACCTCACTTCTCTTAGAGTGTCATAGAAACCACCAAAAATAATGATCTTGTGTTTGTATAAAACCTGCAACATAATCCAAGAACAACACAGAATAAGACTTTCATAAATAGCATAAAATCGGGAGGAAAAAAAAGTGGGGGAGCATAGTATGAAAGCGGGTGATAATAGCATCCAAAAATTGACAGAATATAGGAAGTCCAAAGTTAAGCCACTAAGGCTAAGAAAAGACATAAATGTCTGTGTGAAAGGTGCGCACGCAACAAACATACAGATTTTTTGAATTATTGCCATGTAGGAGCTGCGTTCCAAAATTTACAAAAGACTTTGGAGCAATGAACTCAAAAGAGAAATGAAAAGAAAGAAGTCCATATCAGTTTTACATTTAATTGAAGGAATTACCACAAACAAAGACTAATACACAGTTATTGCGTCCTAAAATACTAATTGCTGAAACCTAAAGTAAGACTCAACAGAGGGAATGCCCATAACCCAATTGATTCATCCACATACGGATGGGAAAGCACCTTGCGGCAATATTAATGAGCATTAGTGCACCAAGTCAATCATCCTATTGTAGCATCCTAAATAAGTAGTTAACAGAGTAGCTGTAAAACAGACTGAAAAGAGTATACACTATAAATAACTAACATTTTTTATAAAACATCTTTCCTTTTTTTTTTTTTTTGATAAGTAACATTTTTTATAAAACATCTGATTGGCATAAAATTGTAGTGTTCAAAGAAACATACTGCTCCAAAAGAATATTTTAATCTTGTGACAAAAGAGAGACATTGTAATGTGGCTTTGCTTGTTTTGGTTCTCCAATAAAGTGCCTACGTTTTTAGCCAAATCAAGGTTGCCCCACATTGAATGTTGTGGAGAATACTTACTGACCCCCAATGCACAGCATGCAAAAATTAGTTCAATAACAAGACCACTTACAACTCCAATGATAACATCCTTCACTTCAAGAAATAATCATCCAAAATATAGAAACCATGTTTATAAGAATTAAATTTTAAATTCAACGTATAAATTTTCACAAAACTACATGCTCACGTCAATAATCTACAACATAATAACAATTAAACCATCTCAGACTCTATCAAAAATTTGCATCAACCAAATGCACCTATCTCACTATTTGTAATGACAAACAAGTGATTTTTCTTTCATATAATATTGTATTTTGGAAAACATATCTACTTTTTTTCTTTTCTTTTTTTTTTTTTTTTTGATAAGTAATTTTCTACTCTATTTTAAAAATAGAACATATCAGAAATCAGCATATCTTTCCCCCTTTTCAGTTAAATAATTATCACCACTGGTTGCCACTGTTTCTGAACTCCACCTGCTCATTTGGACATCATAGCAAGCCCAACCCTTACACCTATAATTATGACTCCTAACTTTCTCCACACAATGCCAATTTCTTTCCACAACTAAGCGAAATTAGACCACCACAAATTCCTCAAATCACTTTCAGCGGCAGTAAAGCAATGACTTTACTCCACAACTATTATCCATGGTCCACATCTCACACAGTCGGAATGGTTGTAACCATTATTGGCAGCTGCACAGCATTGATAGTTTATCACAACTAGAAGAAAGCTCAAATTCAATGCATGTGTTAATTCACTACCCTAACTAACAGAAGGAAACAAAAAATGGGGGGGGATGGGAAGATATTGTGTTAAAGAAGAACTTAAAAGCTTTATAAGCAACCTCTAGGCAAACCATTTTGAGCTCCATATAGTAGTGCACATTCATAAACAAAAGAGCACAAAACAGAAAAACAATCTAGATGACTAAGTGAGTTGAAATTTATTTAAATCTATTCCTCATAATCAATTTAATTAACCTGATCTTACCATTCGATGACCTGACCGTGGGCTTGGACATCCTTTATAATTTAGTTGTTCCCATTGATTAGTTTTCAGGTCCAACATCCAAAAGTCCTGCAATGACATTAAGCACAAATTTGCTTCATACATTCATACGTACATACATGTATATAACAGTCAAAACCCCAATATAAAATGATCCATGGCTTCTTTAAAAGAATAAATAGATGGAAAGTCCTACCTTGTAGTGATGGAACCGTTCTTGATTAGGAGAGGTAAACTCGCCACCTAGTAAAAATAATTAAAACGAGAAAGAAAAAGCAATCTTATAAGTATAGATAATAATGCAATGTTATTATGTGTGCCTCTGAACATTTATACATATGTTTGTGCACCCAAGTTTTGCCAGCTTACCATAAATATAGAGGTAGTTCTTCCAAGCAACTGCCTGGTGCGCACTACGAGGAGGTGGACTATTAGGGCTCGAAATCAATTTCCATTCTTGTTTATCCACATCATACCGATAAAGATCACCATATACAAATGTCTGCATCAACCCAATTCCATACACTGTCACTCTATGAACTCCCATCAAATGTACATACATGAGTACATATTATAGCAATACATATTTATATAAATTCGATGAAGAACCAACCTTGTTACCATTGTAGAATTCACCTCCATACAGTATCAATTCTGTATCTTTTAAAGGATTAATGTTTAGCTACACAATCAATAACACAATCATCATCATTTTAATTTCTGAATTCGCAACAAAAATAATCAAATTAAATACAAAAATACTTCAAAGAAATCAATTTGAGTACCGAACAATTGGAGCGCGGCGACGGGGCCGGCACATTATCTTCAATGTGGACTTCCTTCTTCTTGGCTTCCTCTTTTTGTATACTCAACTGTGTTGTCACAAGTACAATAATTAGGGTTCAGCTATATCAATTTGTTTGGTGTCTGTTTGTTTCTAGGGAAAACAATAATGAGTTTTTTTCTGGAGAAAAAAGAAGAAAGAATAGGTTTTGATTGACGAACCAGTATAGCATCGATGTCGTCTTCAGGAGAGGCTTTCTTGGTGTCTCTGCGAGCTCTCTTCTCCTCTGCTTTCGCAGTTTTTCTCTCTGTTTTCTCTTTGCCTTTCCCGGGCTTCTTCGTCTTCTTCCCCATGTCTTCTGCACAATTGCGAGCAAGCGGCGACACACACAGCGATGGTGTGTTTTAGTGACAACAGTTTAGCTCCTTACTAAAACGGTGACGTATTTGTCCACGCATGAAAAAGTTAATTTTCTGAAAAATAAAGGCTAAATTCCACTTGTCCCCTTAGGTTTGTCAATGTTCCACATTGACCCTCTATATTTCATAATCCTACTAGTTTTCCCTAAAGTTCTGGCTTATGTAACAAATTTTCCCTTGTCTTTCAATTTTGTCCTTGTAATGCTTGAAATGATAATAAATATTTTATAGGCAAAATCGTAAAAAACTCACTGACAGCGGAGATAAGTGATATCATGAAACATATAAGAAGTCTACGTGGAATATTGATAAATTTTAGGGGAGGGACGTAAAATTTATTTTTAAATAAAATAAAAAATAAAAACTATATTTTGCTTAGCATTTAGCAAACAACTAAAAAAATAGAAAATAAAGGAAATGCCAAAACCTAAAAAGTACTGCTATTTTGAAAAGATTTGGTTATGGGAGGAGAGGTAGTTATTTAGTTATATGATGGTCGGTAGTTGGATTTTAGGGTTTAAGGACAGGCCTCAAATGACTAACTTGGGCTTTGGGGGCCTAAACCCTCTTTTGCTTTGTTTCTTCCATCTGTTTTGCTTTGTAAGCCCAACTGCACCTCATACGCCCAGGCAGGCCTTGGGAAGGCCCCTTAAAATTGTATATTATTATTCTTTCATAAAATTCTCACTTATTTACCACAAAAAATAATAATAATAATAATCTTGCCATGGATAAAAAGACCTACCATAAATTGTCACCAATACTTGTGGTGGTGTGGGGCCTACAATTCTTATCTCTTATTTGGTATCGGAGTTTGGACTCCAAATCATTTTTCAAATGAAAATGATTGTTAAGCTCAGTATTTTAACCGAAATGTTGGGCCGATAGCATCCCAGCAATTACTAGGGATGTCTATCATAACTCTTTTTCATATGATTTCAGAACTCACCATGTTTCTTTGTTGCTCAGAAATTAATTGGTGTGGGATCTCATTATCGGGGATTTCTGCAGACTCAGACAGCTTGTTCATGCTGCCATTGTAGTTCCTAGATTGTTTGGTGCTTGCTCTTTTAGCTTGCGGAAATTGCTGGGCTTAGATGGATTCTTTAGCTAAATTCTTTCTGGTGGCACTGGCTCTGGTCTGTCGCATGTTACTGTTGTAACCTTGCTACAACATTGTTCTTAGGTTCAACTTTGGGATGTATTCTATTGATTAATTATGCATTGTAATGTCTTGTCCTCCCTTTGACTCGTCAATTTGTCATCCTAAAGTACAGACCTCTCCTTGTCCAAAGGGAGTGTTCTGAAATGTGATTTAAAATTTTAATTTTTGATTAGTAAATACATGTCTTGAACAAAATGAGATATGTAGACGACATATATTTAGGATGAGTTTGGAATTGGACGAAATAAATTTTGAAATTATTATTTTTAAAAGATGAGGTTCCAAACGTAATTTTAACGAATCGATCATACAAAAATAACCCACTTACAACCATGCCGCAGTTAGATTTGTTAATTTACTGACATATGAAAAAATGAAAAGAAATTACATATACATTTAATTCTTCTATTTGGCCCTTTTGTTTATTTTTATTATATATTTTTTCTTTTTCATGTAATGTCCACTAAACTTTTGAAAATTTAAAACGTAACAACCTTTTTAAAAGTTCCACGTTTGATTTTTGAAATTAGCGATTGCATTCATAATTTACGGACAAACAAAATAAAAATCAACTTTTTGTAAGCAAATATCATAATTAATATATTATACTTTTATAATTGTATACTTGATGCGTCCGTGTTTTATTTTTTAAAATTTGTCATATTATGTCACGCCCGTGTTGGTATCCATATCCCGGTTTATACATTGCTTCATGAAAATTGGTTTTATTTGTCATTTTTAAGTTGAGTATCTATCCTGGTTACGCAGTGAGGTATAAGCTTGTGTACTAAATAATGTTTGTAACAAATCAATTTAGGGTTTGCATTTGATATGAGAGTTATAATTTCTCCTCTTATGAGAGGTTTGAATCTCGTAATTATTTCGGAAAAAAAAACACAAAAAAACAAGTGTTAGTCATATATAAATTATTTTCTTTTCCTTTATACTGACACAACGTTGGAGATCTCAACTCAATGAAACATATACTCCCTCTGTCCAAAACAAATGTCATATTTTTTTTTTTGGTCTGTCCCAAAATAATTGTCACTTTTCTTTTTTAAATAATATATTTTACATCTTTCTATATATGTTTTTAAAATTTAAAATTTTAAACTTGAATATTCAAAAATTATAAAGATAAATTAGTAACTTTCTATGAAAACAAGAAAGTTCCCTTATAAATTTCTATTCCGCAAAAGCGATATTTAAATTAAAACAGAGGGAGTATTTCATGATTTCGGTCAATTATCATTAGATATCTAAGAAAAAAGATTTAAAGAAAGTAAACATATTTATGATACATTTGCTTTTAAACATCAAATGCTAAATGGTGGGGACCAATGGTCCGATACTTGTAGTAAATTATCAACATTAGAACGGAGAAAGTTCCATTGTGATGCAGTGATGCTTGTTCACTGATGATCCACTAGGCGCAACATTAGCCAGCTATTTAACAGATAAGAAAGTAGGACTACTGAATGGGGGAAAAAAAATAATTTTTGTACCGATAAATTGTCAGACTTATTGTTTTTAATTGGTCATCTATTTAACAAATAAAAAAGTAGGACTCTCCACTTATTTATATTTTACATAAATAATCAATCAAAAACATTTAGTTAGGCAGCAATAAAGACTTCCCTGCACCTTTAATATTTCATTATTTGTGTCATCAACTAATTGTATCATATTAAATAAGCAAAAATGTTTTATTTTAGTAGATCTTATTGCTACGTGTGATTATCTAATCCATTGAAAATACCATGTCATTAATACAATCGACGCAATTAAATTTTTTTTTGTAAGTATCACTATTCAAAGGTGAATCGCAAATAAACTTATTTCATGCATATTTTAATTTAGAAAATGGACCATACTTGATTTTTGCTTGAGTGGCCGCCTACTTTGTTAATAGTATGTGTTAAAATTAAAGACAAATTACACTAATGCTCCTTACATTTAAGCAAATTACATATGAATTGAGTAATTAGTCATTATTTTTTTGACTTTCCATAAAAGTGTGAAATTATTTTAATACTCTTATTTAATATAATAATTTAATAAAATAATTCAAACCAAAATAATCTATTACCTTCTTTATTTTTCCCTTCCTATAAACATTAACCTAATTTTTAATTAAAAAAATTCAATACCAAAAGACCATGTTACCTTCTTTATTTTTCCCTTCCTATAAACACTATATTATAATATTACCTAATCTATATATATATTTTTTAAAATAATAATAATAATAATCAAACTCTGATCAGAAATCTAATCAAATGTCATTAACATCTCACTCTTTGAGAAGTTTTCAAATTAAACACCTCACTCTTTAATTTATAAATACAAAAGAAAATTTCAAAGGACGTCAAAGTTAAACCAAATCTCTAACCCATCCAACTTTTAGAACTTTCAAGAATATCATGTACTCCACACTTGTTTTGTTCTTCTTTGGAAACCTTCATCACAACGTTCGACATCAAGCGTTGACCAACCCTCAATCAAAAATTCGTTCAAGTCTTCTTCAATGTTGAAGAACTTGAGTAGTAATTTTCAATAGTCTTCACCGAACATTATTCCAAGGAAATTTTACAAATTAAAACATTGACCTCTATCCATTCATGCAACCTCTCATCCTTCACAATCTTCCATTTTCAAGCATTTCAAATGAGACTTATTTTGTGACAGAAAAAAATAAAAAAGGTAGACACTTACTTTCACCGTTTCAATTTAAGTGTCATTTTTCGGGAGTAGTAAATTTTAAGGAGATATGTGTGATATGCATTATTTTTTTGAAAAGTTATTAAATTGTCTTTTTAATTTTTGAATATTTAAGTTTGAAATTTTAAACTCTAAGAACAAATATGCAAAAATGTAAAATATATTATTAAAAAAAAAAAAAAATAATTATTTTGGGACAGCCCAAACAGAAAGACCCAAATTTTAAATGACAATATTTCCCTTTTCTCCATGCCTTTGCAACGAACACTAATTGTAACTGGCATTCCTGTCAACATCATATACATTGACTTCTTTGACTATTCTACCCTTGCTTGAGCCTTCTCTCTCATCATTCCCCAGATGAGGTAAAATTTCATCCTCCACTTGAAATTTTGGCAAAGCGATGTAATGTAAATCAGAGATAGTAAGTTCTTTCTTTATTGGCCAATTGTTCAGGCTATTGTTTGTTTCTGCCCCAGTACTAGTTTCACTCATGGTAAAATGAAGCACAAGAAAAAGTCTTTAACTGCAAATATGAAACAAATAAGCCTTATATATATACATTTTCAAATAAATGTTATTTAATTGCCGGATCTTCTAAATGATATAAATTATAAATATTTCGATTCTCATAATTTAATAGATATATTGTTCTTCACTCTGAACACACGCAACACACGAAAAGCCACATGCATCGGATAAGATTAGAGTTATTACAACTTAACCTGCGTGGGTAACTTACGGGAATTGTTTACCCAGATGTTCAAACTTGAGACTTGATACTTCATGAGGCACCAGGGCCCGAATTCATGCCTACTAGGCCAATCCGGCCGGGTTTATTGAATGTAAATTTAGTATATTTTGAACATTTTGTTCCTATATATTTCACAAATATATTTATTTTATTAATTATTGGAACAATTTTTTAACGTATCTTATCGTACATACCTATATCCTATTTTTTTTTAGATTTTTCATATTATATAATTGCACCCGTATCTATATTTGTACTTCCTAGAAAGACCTTCATTACAACGTTTGTTATGGAGAATTCGATCGAAAATCCATTTAATTCTTCTTCAATGTGGAAG